CGGGCTTATAGTTTTGGAGATCATGTGATGAGTCAGTGAGTGGTATAAACAAATTAAAGTCGTTCTTTTAATAAAATATCAAATATCTATTGATTGAGGCATAACTTTCTTACCTTTACTTCACGTGTCAGATATAAACAAGAAAGAGCTACATCCCGTGAGCAACCTTTTTAGATTTTTATGGGTTACCCACATGTTTGTTTTAGTTAGAAGTTTTTGTTAATACAAATTGTATAAATTGCTATAGTAAAAATAAACATTATTATTGTTTTGTGTCTTCGTATCATCTGCGTCATTAGCCTCGTGTTCTGTGTAGGCTTTGACTGTTTTTCAGCGTTACTTTAGGAACAGCACTGTTAATTAGAACCCAACAGTGAATGGTCAGGTGGGGAATCCTACCTATGCATTAGAATTAATATTTAAATTTAATTCATTTAATTCGAACCTGTGACCCTTGGATCTCAAAGTCATGACTCTATCCACTTAGCCAACTCACCACCATAATTATTATTAAGCTATTGCATAGCTTTTATCGCGGGCTTTGAGCGCGGCGACCGAATCAAGAAATTTCGTAATTCCGTAACGAAAATAAACCTAACACCCCCTACTCCGACCGGCACAGCGGTGCGGCGTTAAACAATATTAACTTCTCATTTATTCAATAAAAGAAAATCGCAAAAGAAATTCCGTAACGAAAATAAACTTAACACCCCCCACTCCGACCGGCACAGCGGTGCAGCGTTGAAAGCCGTGCATCGTCTAACGTCGTTTCAGTTCGGCAGACTTCGGCACGGTGTTTGTGTGCGTGCGACTAGACGTATGCGTATAGACTAGCTGCTACTGCTCATAACTGATTCTATCTCTTTTAGACACAATTTCGGAAAAATTGAATTTGAAAATGAATAATGATCCACAAGAATCCACAACAAAATATGGGACCACCATTGACGCGGTATTTAGATGATATCAAGTCTCAAACTTATGTTTCTTATTTCAGTTACCATAAACCTATAGTTTCAATGATAAAAATTCCTGAATAACCTACATGTATTGTAAGATAATAAAAATATTTTAAACAATATTAACTTCTCATTTATTCAATAAAAGAAAAAATTTGTTTTCTTATTGGTCACCACGCTCAAAAAGTGTAACTTGAATTAATATCAAAGAAAAAACTTGAATTAATATCAAAGAAAAAAAATACTGCACAAATAAAATAAATAATTATAATTGCATAAGTTGATAAAAAATGATATGCAATAGCTTTACCGCGGCAGTCCCCGAGGGCCACACGTATTTTTTTTTTTTTTGAGTCATCGGATTCAACTACTAAGGTTATTTCCTCGTGTTCGGCGTAAGCTTTGTTACTGTTTCCCAGCGCCGCTTTAGGAACAGCACTGTTAATTAGAACCCAACAATGAATGGTCGAGTGGGGAATCCTACCAAGGGATCAGAATTAATTTTAAGTAAATAAATTAAATGAAAAAATCCCGGCCAATGGTGGGATTCAAACCTTGGATCCGCAGGCAGAGACTCTACCACTGAGCCACCCACCCCCCATAATTATTAAATTTAAAATTACTATTATAGTACCTATTGACTTTAAATTTAGCCATTCAAAATAAAGAAAATTGTCTTTTTTATATTTTTTAGAATTAAAATATTATTGGATTCACAATGTTCCTGATGTCACAAAGCAGTGTTCTCATAGGAAATTAATACCATCTTTGTTATATAAAGACAGTGAATTCCCAGAAGACTTTGATTTAAAAAATGTTATAAGAAAATCTGAAATTGTATCTCTTAATACTATAGAAACTGATTTGAACATTCCAATATCATCATCAGAAAAAATAGAAAAGACTTCTGTTGATATCATAAATATTGACAAGGATATTGAAACTCGGGCAGAGCAAAGTAAAATAGATAAATTGTCAGAAGAATTGGAGAATAAAAAAAGCCAGTATATATTATTACAAGATAAGGTTAAAACTAAAGAAGCACTGCTGAAAGAGGTAAACAATTTTAAACAATCATTTATTTTACAACAAAATGATTTTTTTATTGTAGTTGATTAGAACAAAAAATGAAGAACAGAACTACTTGATAGAAACTCTTGCGAAAGTAAAATTAAAAACAAAAACTCAAACAGTACTCAGCAAGGAAGAAAACTTAGCAAAATTAAATAACATGATTGAAAAGGCCAATGACCGTCTAGCAGAACTAGCCAAGCAATGGCATGAAATACAAACACCTTTATTAGAAGAATACAAATGTTTGAAAGACAGCTTAACCAGTGAAGAATCCAAATACCAAGAACAGAAAGAGAAATTAGAAAACTTCAAGGAAACGGAAATAAAATTAAATGAAAATATAAAAGAAAAAAAAGATTTGAGTCAGAATTTGACACAACAATATAAACAGATAAATAGGAAAAATAACAGGTTTGTAGAATCTAATAAGATATTTAATATAAGTAGTAATGGTAATTCTATAACGGACGTTAAAAATATAATGTATGTTAAATATGAAAAACAAATCTGTAAATTCATGAAAAATTTTAACTTGTCATAATGAACATAATGGTTCATTTGTGCAGCAAAAAACTATTCTATAAGCAGAAATATGTTAAAAATTTAACATATATCTGTTAATTGTATGCGTTAAATCGAGGATATTAACAGGTACTAATTAGTAGGCTTTACAACTTAACATATAAAAAACTATAACTTTTGATTGTTTAATTCAACTTATAATGCAAGAAAATCATAAAAATGAACCATTTTAAAAGTACTCAAGTAATTTTAACAGTAGAAATTGTATTTAGAAATTATACTTTTTTTAGTTAGTAATTGATTTGCCGTAGAAGGGCACTATTAAGGTTACTGGGGTTAGTTTTGTTTTTATCGAAAATTGATGACCTACCAAATAATTTATAAAGTACATTCGGCCGCTACTTTTTTCAATATTCTTATGCAAAAACAGACAGATACAATAAATATGACAAAAGGCATCACATTTATTTGACAGATCTTAAAACTTAACCATACTTTTATTGCAAATTTGAACTACTTTTAATGTATGTAATTTATTTGAAAATTTAAAGTATGCGTTAATTTTATTTTTACAGAATTACAATTTATGTTAAAATCGTAAAATTTAACACCCGTTAAAAATAAACGTATTGAATTACAGAATTACCGCTATAGTATGTTAAAATTAAAATACAAGTTGCAGACGGCCACATATTCCAGCACAAATTCGAAATTTGGTCACGAGCGATGAAGGAACAAGTGGACGAATGAGTGCGAGAATATCCTTCTGCAACATGTTTTATACTATTAGAGAGTTATTGCAAGTTCACTTAAGATCAGTCACTATTAATGCCGCTCTTATTTTGACATCTGAGCATGCGCAGATCACTAACTTTAATAAAGATTGTGCCTGTCTTTAATAAGATAGTTATTGCAAGTTTACTTAAGGTCAGTTCCCAGACAGCACACCAAATCCTTTGGATATCTACTAAACATCCCAATATCCACTGAATGTCCAGTCCATGGTGTATATCTATTTTATATCCACGAGATGTAATTTATAGACATGCAAATGTCCATAAATAATAGTAATTATATAGCAAATTATTAAAAAAACTACGCCATTGTGCTCGCCATTGTGACTAATAGTACCATTCAGATATTTAAAATTAATTTTTTTAAGGTGTATTAAATATCCCATGGACATCCACTAAAGATATCAAAGTCTAGGCGAGAACGCAAACCATCGTGGATATCCACTAGATGTAATTTTTGATATTGCTTACTAAGTATAGATGGCGATACCATTATATATCTACTCATGCTCAACCCGCCGTAATTGAGTTCGATCGAAATTGTTTTCCCAATCAGACTCCATTAGAGACTGGAGTCGAGAATTTCCATTTATTGCTGAAGAGTCCTAATAAAGGCTAGTTCATGTAGTTGCGAATCGCGAATTGCGAATCGCGAAGGTCGCTGCCATTGGTCAATATCACAATAATGACAAGATGGAAATTTTGACACCTCGAAAGTTGAATTTCTTGCGAATTCGCATTATTCAAAATCTGGGGGGGCGGGAATCTTGAAATCGTTTTAATATTTTGCGAATATCGCACATATTTTATGTGAGCGCAAGCGTAGTAGCGCCTACTAGAGTTTGTTCGTTTGTTGTGGATTATGATATAGGTATATAGGTTATATTTGTATTATATTTGCTGTATTTGTTAGTATGTTCATGATAATCTTCTTTGTTTTTTTTTTAGTGTGATTTAGCCGAATATATGCTAAATTGTGATATTTTGATCTTTGTTGTTTCCTGTTTAAATGTTTCACAGACGTAAACTGCGTACTATTAATTCTAATAATATGTATTTTTTAACAATAAATAAAGCTAATTCATTATCGTATTCGTCATTCATTTTATTTTATAAAACTATTTATCGGTAGCAGACACGAATCGGGGTTATGTCACTGTTGTTGTGGAATAATACCAACTGCGGAATATGTTTTAGTGAAAATAATAAATATCCCAGAATCCTGTCAAAACATTCGCAGGTACATGCATTGACATAAAAAAACAATATATTTTTTGCGAATTTCGCTTTCGCGATTCGCATCTACATGAACTAGCCTTAAGGATGACTTTCTCTTAGTGGGCAAAATCAAATGCAGAGTGTGGAAAATATTTTGAGTGTTGAAAATATTTTTTATCTCTGCTATTTTCTTTCAACGTTATTCAATAATCATTGGTTACTTATGAACCTCTATTAAAGATACCCATAAAATATTTTGCTGAATATCCGAATATCTTCTATATCCTGGGATATAGACGCACATTTGGATATCCATTTTAGATCCACTGTATATATTGGATATCCACAAAATATATTCTGTGGATATCTCTGGGATTTCTTGTATTGCCTGGAAGAGACCCCTTAGATATTTTGCTGGATATCTTCTATTTTCTGGATAGAGACGGACATTTGAATATCCATATTAGATGCAGGGGATAATTCTGATACCCTGTGGATATAATGGATATCCACAAAAGATATTCTGTGGATATCTCTGGGATTTGGTGTGTTGTCTGGGTCACTCACTGATCTGTTTAATTTAACTGGATAGGATATAGGCTATATTTAACATACTAAAAATCCGTTCCACCAAGGAGACCGGAAGTGCAACACTGCTGGTCGATTTGGGCAAATTATGGTGGGACACATACTTTGATTTTCTTTTACTATACGGAGAATGGTCGCACTGCGCAGCTTTCTGAGTGCCTTTTAAATGGAGATAGAAAACTCCGCCATTTTGAACCCTTATTACGTGTTGCCTACATCTTGGCGCAATATTTTTAATAGGTGCGTTTTAATCATCCGCTTCTGCTTCGGAATTGTTTCTGGTTATTTCTTTTGCTGCTATGAGAATACCCGTTAGCTCTGTTTGAACTACACTGGCACTATTGCTCAAAGCCCATTTTAGGTTTAAGAATCTGGAGTATATTCAACATCCTGAGCCCTTGTTTTGTTTTAGAACCGTCGGTGTAGATATGAATCGTACCTGCCACTTCCGGCTCTTCTATTTGTTCTATTATAACTTTATATGGCTTATGGAAGATATGTCTCTGTGAGATGGAGTCCATGTTAGCTTGAAGCAGTCGGAGCGTATCGAGCGCCTCCTGCCAAAAGCGACGTCTCGCCTCACCAGATCCTACCGTGCGGAGGCGTGTCATTGTCGTCAGAGCAACATCCTTGATGTAAATATCAAGGGGAGTGAGACTAAGAATGGCTTCCATGGCCCTGGTCGGTGTTGTTTTCATGGCACCTGTTATGTTGAGACATGCTGTTCTTTGAATTTGTTCTAGTTTACAGATAGCTGTTAATTTTTGGGTTTTCGGTACCCAGACAATTGCACCGTATGTTAGCATAGGTCTTAGGATAGCCGTGTAAGTCCATGCACCGACTCTGGGGGAGAAACCCCAGGTGCGCCCCACGGTTCGGCGGCATTGTTCATAAGAATGTATGCTCTTTTAACTCTATTTTCTAAATGCGAGTTCCATGTTAGCTTGCCACCTTTGACAGTGAGGCCTAGGTACTTCACCTCTGTTGCAAAGTTTAGTTTTGTGTTTAGGAGTTTTTAATTCCATTTATATCCTTTTCCTTGTAAAAAGGACCATTTCTGTCTTCTTAGGATTGATAGACAGTGAATGGTCCTTGCACCACTGTTCTATAATTTTTAGAGCTACTTGCATTCTTTCACAGAGTATGTTCTCACAATTCCCTGTTTGCAGAATGACCAGGTCATCTGCATATTCCATTGTGTAGTGACTCATTATTGAGGCAGCTGATGAGGGTGTCGAGGACCATATTCCACAGTAGAGGTGATAGCACCCCTCCCTGTGGACATCCCCTCGCAACTAAGCCTCTTATATTCACGTCTTCTACACTTATGTTTACTGCTCGCTTTGAGAGCATGTTATTGACATTCGACATAATAGTAACCCTAAAAATATAGCTGTTAGTGATTTGACGTTTGAGTCACCATTTTCAGGTAACCACGTCCCTAATTTAACCATTTTTCAGGAATGTCAAGCAGAGTGGTTAGTTTTGGACCGAGTAACCAATATTTTCGGTTATGACCCTTACTAGCAAAGTAATGGATGTCAACTGAAAGATACATAAGTTTTGTGTAATTAACGTACTCTTAAACGTCACTAAATTTCACCAGAAAAAGAAGAATTGTAATTAATTATTATGTTAAAACCACAGACATCGATAAAGGAGATAGGAAATGTCATTTTCATCAGGCACGTAGAATTGAAGGCGGCCATCTTTACAAAAAAAGCGACCTACGCACTTGCGCATTGATTGAATATTGAAGTGTACAGGATAGGACTAACACATTTAAATATAATTCGAAAATATTAAGGATTTACTTACACAGTAGAACTAATAACCTTAAAAACTCTTAATAGAATTTTAATTTTCTTTTTTTTGTGGATTTTAAGAGCTTTCTAAAAATAAAAAACATCTTAGTCTTTTTTGAAACTTTATTTTAAATTAAATAAAAACATAGAATATATTTAAAATACAATTTTATATGAAATTAATACAACAATGTAAGGCCGTCATACATTTTGTAGCAAATAAATCTGGAATCACGTGATTTAAACAAAACTTTCATATTAAAAACTGTAATTTTGTATGTAATTATTACATGGGATTGCTCAGATCTTTAAAGTATTTCAGTTTATATAAAAACTACAAAACTAAGGAATTCAAAAATATTTGTAATATCGTTCCACAATACTATGACATGCACTTGAGCATACATTATGAATCGTCAATCAAAATAAATAAGAGATTATGGGCATATTCCTACTAATGAATAGAGTAAATTTAAAACTAGGTATTAAAAGAAGCATGTAGTCAAATATTTTATTAAAAAAGGGAAATAAATCCAAACTTTAACGTTTTCTTTCAAAAAACAACTACTTCTTTGGCTAATTCCGCAGCAGACATTGAATTATATCCAAAGAACACAACAAAGTTAAAAAAATTCATATTTCAATATCCAAACTTTGTTCTTGCTTACCATAGATAACGTTATTCTTGGACCGGTTTTGTCCTTATTAGGACTCATCAGCAAGAAATAGACATTCTCGATTTCGGTCACTAAAGGAATCTGAAAAGGCGGTAAATTCACCCGCTTACATAGACAGAGGTTGTGAGAGAATAAGTAGTAACAAAGCTTCGATTTTGCCAAGTGCGAAGGGTTTTACTTTTTTATCTTGTGTAATAAATACTACAGTAACTATATGTTAATATTGGGTTATTCAACATAAAATATTTATATTACATTAGAAAATGGCACTAATAAATTATAAATTATATAAAGCTATTTAATAAAAGTTAATGAGGAACAAAAAATACAAAGAGTTTTTTAAATTTTCATTGGGGTTTGAACAATGTCTTTAATGTTTTTATTAATCTTGATATGTGATTTTCCTACAAGGGTAGATACTCTTTAGATAATTATAATTATTGATTTCTCGAAACAAGTTTTTATTTTAAACTAATTGAAAATGAACATTTTTTAGCAGGTAATTGATTATGTGATTAAAAATACTTTTTTTTTAAGATAATTCGACAGTTTTACACTAGTACTTACAGCCGAAACTGTTTTATATTACCCTATTTTGTCCTAAAAAATTATTTTCAATCATTTTTATTAGCTGTTGCGCTAGAAAGTGTATCTTGGCCAGCAAAATATTTTATCATTTTTTTTTTGCAATATAAACAATGTTTTCTGAAATATCTAACAACTTAATTACATTCTGTATAATACAATACAATAATTTAACTTTTCCATCCTGGCTCCAGGAAAAAGGTATGGAACACAATGCCATTGAATAGAGAGAAATATAATACGAATGAGTGTGGACCGCAACAGCCCATGCTTGCCATCGAAAGGGTATGGTAAAATCAATTACTATCTTTATCGCTCTCACATCCAAATACAATTAAGCGTCTCATCTTTATTACGCCTGATGCGTCGGCTTAAGATACCGTACATTTTTTGACTATATTTAAATAAATAAATAATGTTTATTAAGCAACTATAAATACATTAGTGTCTCAAAATGAATGAATTCGGCTGAGCCGTTTTTCAATTGATCCTCATTATAACAGAAAAAATGTTCACAAAATAATTATTTTAAATTAAATCATTGTCTTGAAATAAGAACTTGCCTAATAGTCTTAACAAAATGATTAAAATTCAAATTATTAAGTTCTGAATTTAACAATAATGGTGCTACGTATCTAAAACAACCTTGGAATTTTGAAGTTCTATGCATTGGGGTTGTAAAAGTGTTCACTCTTAAGTTTACATTGTGTAAAGTTGATCTTTTTAGTAAGATATCGTGGAATTTTAAACATTAAAAAAAGATATTTTACGCTTTCCTAAATTTTATATTTATTTAACCTGCGAATGTACGGAGAAACATGATTTCTATAAGGAATATTACAAGTACATCTTATACAAGAATTTTGAATCTTCTGAAGTTTCTCTCAGTTATATTTAGTAAGAGTAGTAATAAACTATAAGCACTGTTGTTGTACTTTTTAGTGTCATTTGTAAAATGTTGATGGGGTCCTAAAGAATACAATAGCCATTAAGATTCTTAATGTCATGGTACAGAAGTAATCGTAGTCTATAGCTTTGTTCCAACACACACACAAACCGCAATATTACGGTCATCGTCATGCGCAGTAAATAAAAACCGTTCGACTTTGGGCTTTATTGATAGGTTTTTATTTACTGCGCATGACGATGACCGTAATATTACGGTTTGTGTGTGTGTTGGAACAAAGCTTATATGAATGGAAATTTTTTACAGATAAAGGATTATTGTTCCATCCATACCTAGCCCTAGAAATAAAATGTAATTGCATCATACAATTAAACTAATACTATTCCATATACTGCAGAAAAATAGCTCTAAGTGATCTGTACTAAGTTTATATATTAAAAGTTTACATATTTGTCATATAAACCTATTACAAACTTTATAAAACAAAGTCTAGAACACCACTATTTTTCTTCAGTCACTGAATAACATAACTGCTGTCAAAGGTTTTAAGTTTCTTTATACATTCTGTTGCAGCTTATATTTCAGACATCCATATAGTCTCCGTTTTTTGAGACAAAGGCATTTTCCATTCAAATCTAAAAAGATTTCGAGAATTTAGTAAAGAGAACAGTTTCTCAAATTTCCTTATACAATTAATAGTAATGTTACTTACTATTTGTAATTTCTAAATTCGTTTAAGTGTACAAACCTTCATGTCTTTCTCCAATCCATATGGGGCACTCTTAATTTGCTACCCAAACGTAAACCTTCTGTTTGTTAAATATAATGCAACAATTTTATATAATTAAAATCAATAATTTCGCCATTAGTTTCGACAATTTTAGTAAGGTTATCCCAGTTATTCCAAGCCAACTTAAGTATGTGACATGCATCTAAAATTATAAAAAAATGTACTTTTATCTATGGTGAATGCAAGAAATATGGAGTCGCAGTGTCAATATCAAAGTTGTATAGGTTTACACCTAATGTTATCCATCAAATGATAATTAGGTGATGATAACTCCATATTCATGCAATTTTAGAAGAGCCTATAACGCCACATTTCTTCTTTCATTACCATCTAAACCGTTAATAAAAAATAACCAACTGGCAACATCTATAAGTCCTCGTTAGATTCTGAATTAATAATATTCGTTCAAGCTGAAGGTTGTAAATTTCTAAAAATAATAGGGATATTAACAATTTTTTATCACTTTCTTAAAAAGTATAAAAAGAAACAAATTATAATTTTATGTATATATTTACCTCATAACACTAATGTTATAAAAATCTTCAATTTTAGGCATATTTATGGAAGGTTTTTTTTTTTTTTTATTGCATCTATTCGTTTTGAAACGATTAAATCATCTTTATGACAATGGGAGGAACAAATAGCGTTATTTGCACTTATATTTTCCAATGATTTTTTCCAATAGCTATTAAACAAGAAGCATACGCCTTTTCCTCAATCTAAAAAAATTATAGTAATATCAACGGAGTTACAGTTTGTTATTATTGTACTATGATATTTCGTTTTCTAGAAAATGAAACTGTGGTGAAGAATACGGTTCTGGTAGAAATGATGTCTTACTTGTGGAATGTAATGTTTTCTGAATCCTCGTTGTTTAAACAACCAAAAACAAAGCAAGTCTTTCCCATTTTATTAATTGTCTACAGTAAAAACTTCTAAAATTCTTTTAAATTCACTAAAATAGCGAATTTCCAAAGAAACCAAGAATAGTTGACATAAATGACACTTCTGTCAAAACACTACAACAACTGCGCATGTGCGTTGTACGCTTAAATTGCCAACATGGCGGCCTACATGGTGTGATTATTTTGAAACACCAGGGAAAACGGCCTTTTCCTATCTCCTCTATCCAAATCTGTGGTTAAAACATATAGCATTTGTTTTTTGTTTTTAATTTAATGACATTATGATTACATTATTTAATGATCACATACTTTGATTTTCTTTTACTATACGGAGAATGGTCGCACTGCGCAGCTTTCTGAGTGCCTTTTAAAAGGAGTTAGAAAACTCCGCCATTTTGAACCCTTATTACGTGTTGCCTACATCTTGGCGCAATATTTTTAATAGGTGCGTTTTAATCATCCGCTTCTGCTTCGGAATTGTCAGTTTTCTTGTTTTAATCTGACAGGTTAAAACGACTAAACCGACAATTCCGGAAGCAGAAGCGGATGATTAAAACGCACCTGATATTTTGCTTGCTGCTGTCAGTGTCAGTGAATATTATTTTTGAAGTCACAGTTTATTGCTAAAGAATCAGTTAGCTCACTCGGATCAGTTGAAAGTTCCAAAATAACATCCACTCCAAGGATACAAATTCAGGATACGCAGAAGACTGCTGATTTATTATAGGCGGTTGTCATATATTGTATTATCCGAGTTGCACAGTGTATAAACTGAAACATTGAGATCCAAAGTGCCGACGCAGAGTGAGCGATCTGATTCTTTAGCTGTAAACTGTGTCACAGGGTTCAAAATGGCCGCGCCCTATGTTGGGCGTGTCGGACGTCTCTCTTGCCTCGTATAGTAATCAAAGTATGTGTTTGTGATGGATGATTTGGAGATTTTACAAAATAAAAAGTTTAATAAATATCCAATTTGCCCTAGATATATTTAAAATAAGTTATGGATCTAAAGATTAAAAAATTCCATGATTTATAAATATACAAGAAGTATTAATATCTATAGAAATAATAAATTAGTTTCTCTGAAACCTGCCAATAAAGCAGAAATGACGACAGGAAAGTTGAAGTTTGTATAATTTTTTACCATATTTTTTAGGGCAATGTACACTAGAAGAATTTTAGAAATTATAAGCAACATACGAAAACAAAACAATGATATACAGAAAGTCCTTAAAGACACTCGTGAAATTCAGAAAGAAATTAAAAACCTGACTGGCCAAGTTGACAGATCTTTTACTTTGGCAGATGAGTTAATATTCTATGTAGGTTAAAAATTAAATATTATAATATTGTTCATTATACAAGATATTTTCAGGATGCTAAAAATGATGAAACAGCTCGTCGTTCTTATAAATTATTGGCAGCTCTACGAGATGAATTTAATATTATTCTTAAAACCCTCGAAGATCTAGGGGTCGTCGAAAGAGAATGCAGAAATTTAGAAGAACAAATTGAAATAGAAAAATCCAAAGAAGTTAGTGTTAAACTTGAAAGAGTTATTTCAGATTTAAGACAGATACAAAAAGAGACGGATATGATGAAGAAACCATCTAGCTAGCTTTTACTAAGTCAAAATATTAAACTATAATCGAAAGGTACAATTAGATACATTTCAGTAAAACTGAGTGTGTTTTCATAACTACTTATTTTTTTAAATCTTATATCATTTTATTTCAATATTGGCGTTGTCATGTTAATGCCTCCTATGTTCATAATTTATATAAATTTAAATAAATTAGCATGGTATTAGACAGGGTAGGCAGAAGGACTTTGGTCTACAGCCCTATTGGAATGAACAGGGCCGACACTAGAGGGGGAGGTAGCCGGGACTAATTCCCGGGGCCCGGACTGAAATGGGGGCCCGGTAGCGGTATAAGGGGGGCCCGGGAACAGGATATTTTTTGTTTTGTATGAGAAATTCGACAAGACAAGAGGGGAATTTTTTGGCGGGAGAGGTTTTTTAGAAAAAGCAATTAAAGTAGAGGAGGAAAAGTTTTAGCTTGAAGACCTTTTTTTTTTAGGAAAAGAAAAAGTTTTTTTTGGTTGAAGACCTTTTTGTTTTTTTTTTATAGAAAATTTCAAGTAGAAGAGGAAAAGTTTTAGTTTGAGGAGCTTTTTTTTGTCAGGGGGCCCGATCTAGAGAATTGTCCTGGGGCCCGGCCTGGCTCTCGGCGGCCCTGGGAATGAATATTCAGTTCAATAAATGACAATTGTTATTATTATTATTATTAAATTAAATTAATTATTTTATAGTATCTAGAATGATATTTTAGAAATTATATATATATATATATATTTTATAAATATAGAAATTAAACCCATTTATTTTTATATTTTCACATAGAAGATTTTGCATGTTTTATTTGTACACATAAAATAGTTTTAATAGTGCTTACAAAAACTGATCAAGGTATTAAAATATTGTACATTGTAGGAATAAAGAATGGTTTGGATACACATGCCAGGTATTTCTTATTAGATATACAGTGTGTCCCCAGATAGGTAAAACAACTCTTGAAAAAGGTACAAAAGTTTCGATTTAAATTTTAATTTTTTGAGGTTCAGCTAATTTTCACTTATAATATCACTAATGTATAATTTATTTTTGGACATATTTTCGAATTCGCGAATATTTTGAAAATTATCCAGAGTCAAAGGGCAAAAATTTCCAGACAATAATTTTGGCACGTGGTATTCGGTAAGAAAACAGACATGCATTAAAACGACTACAATCAATTTTGCAAAGTAGGCCATGTTTATCAGTCATATTTGAAGTCGTTTAGTCGACATGAAAACCCTAATTAATATTTTACTTAAAATAAAGGTAGTGTATTTCTATCTATAATTGGTATTAAATAAAATTTTAACAATTGAAATGGCAAATTTTTTAATCATACCGTCGTCTAGTATTATTATGTGCATGGAAGAACTTTCCAGTGTAATTTCATGCAGAGTACCCACAGAGAGAAACATTTTTTCTGGTTATAGAAACATTTAAAAATTTGATGAAATATGAAATAGATGTGTAAAATTTTCAACATAATTTCAGTTTTGAGAAATCAGGGATGTCTTGAAAATTATCAATAAATCTATTTTTCTCCAAAGTAAAGTGCCTTTTATGTTGCAGCATCTAGGTCCATATACCAAATATGAAAATCCTCGGCCAACTATGATTTTTAATTTATTTGACGATGATTTTGAAATTTGAGATACAGGCTTTTTTATTTCAAGCAACTTTTCTAAATAACTTTTTGACGTATCTGTTACCGAAAAGTTACTATCTTGACAAATAAATGAAAAATTAAAGTTGGTATATGGACCTAAATGGCGATTCTAAACAATTTTTCTAAATAAGGTTTGGTCATATCTGCAACATAAAAGGCACTTTGTCGGTGGCTTCGAATTCTACATCAGACCATGTGGATTTTTAATTAAATTGCATGGTTCATTACAGGATTTAATGTGTGCCGTATTAATAAAAATTCAGTTTCTGTTGATATGACATCCAGATTATAAATCGCCATGCGTTACCGTCTTAATGATGGTGGGTGAGGTTTTCCTCCCTGTAAGTCAAATGGTGCCATCAGTCATCTTTAAGTCGCCCTGGAGCGCCACGGTAAATAATAATAATAGCCTCCCCTTCCCCTACACAAGTCGCTCAGTCAGCTTCAGGGGTTGAAATTCACTCGCAAGGGTGTGAATTAGGGAGATTATTATTATTTTATTATTATATTTTATTCCGTAAGAAAATAGGTTTTCTGAAAATTTTCAAGACATCCTTGATTTCTCAAAACTGAAATTATGTTGAAAATTAGTCATTAACCAAGCAGGGCTGAACCCTAAAAAATGTAAATTTACATCGAGAATTTTATACCTTTTCCAAAGAGTCGTTTTACCTATCTGGCGACACACTATATATAGAAAAGGCCCACTTTAGTATGCTGAAATCCCAAATTTACCTATGTTGTCACATAGGAGGTACTAAAATGACAATTACGATATATTAAGACTAATTTACTAGATAGGTCTTTCAGTACTAATTGTCACAAGGTTAAATATACTAATCCTAGTCTACAAATTTCTACATCAACTAGAAATTTAGGAGAGTTAGCATTTTCACCCGTTGACAATGTCATGGATAATTACTATTATTTGCAGATTGTACAGCAATCATAGTAATGAAAATATACTCATTGCCTCATTCCAAAATTGATATTACAAATTCAATATATTTCTCTTATAATTTGAATTTGAAAGATCCACCCTTTAGTGTATATAAAAAATATATATGTATAATAAACTCGAATTATGTTGTATATATTGTACTAAACTTAAATCATGTTGTAAGCTTTTGTGTCAAATATATTTGTTATTGTTATGCTGTCGTTTTGTTATGCGAGCTATTTTCGACCAGTCCGTTCCTTTAGTCCCTTAAGTCCCTCTCTGCCTTATTTGGACTGTGACGAAGTCACTAAATTTGATTTTAATTAAATTTAAAAATGTATATTTCAATTAATTCCCGCCCGAGGACATGTATTTCTGTTTCCCAGGAATTACCGTTTTTCAACAATTGCGAGTACTGTCGTAGGTTAAAATATTCCTATATTTGCCGAAATCCGAATGGGCATTTTGTAGAATCGATTTCGTACCAATTATCTACTTTTATTTGTCAAGGTACTAGAAGGACATTTTTTTAGTTTTAAATTGTAAACAGTCGGCTGTAGTAGTGGTATCCCCCACTCGGGCTTACCGAAAAGCATAAATTCGATCACATCTGGGAATTTCGCTCTCTTGATTTCCGGCAACCGTAAGCTCTTCTCCACCGACTAGTGAGTGACCGTGATATTGTTAGACTGCTGAACAACCCCGTTTATTTCCTAAGGTAGGAAACCGCAAATGATTTTTTTTATTTACAATTAGTTTGGGACACTCGTCCGACAAGTGAAAAATTTTTGATTCATACCCAGGATATTTTATTTCATCCCTTAGTGGGAAACCGTTGGCAATCTCTTTTAAGAAGCGCCCAGTATTTTTCATTTCATGTAAGTTCCTTTTCTTTTATTTATTCATTCAATTGTATTTGAAACATTCCGTTCCCCGTCCACAACTAATTATTGAACGAAGCCAGACGTTTTCTGTAAAATTAATTCACACACCGTCTGAATCGACTTTTGGCAAATCTCAAAATAATTTTTACGTTAACCATAGCATTCTTGTACCAAACACCGCGCTGAAAATTATCATTCTCGTTTAACGTAATTGCCAGAGCGCCGATCGGTCCGAACTAAGTTACAGCAGGGACGTTCCGAAAACTTTGATTTCATTTATTTGCTTACATTTGATTACCGTCATATTTAAATAGTTTTCAATTGTATTAATTTATTTTTAATAAATATTCCGTATACAGGGAGTTCATAATTCCCGGACCGCTTAGCCTCCTGCGCTAGCGAACCGTAAATATTTCCCAATATTTAATTAGTTTTCAATTGTAATAATTTATTTCTAATACATTTTCCGAAAACAGGGAGCCATTAATAAAATTAATTAGTTTTCAAGAGTAATAATTTACTTTTTATTAAATTTCCGTATACAGGGAGTTTCATAATTCCCGGACCGCTTAGCCTCCTGTGCTAGCGAGCCGTAAATATTTCCCAATATTTAATTAGTTTTCATTGGTGATAATTTATTTTTAATAAATTTTACGAATACAGGGAGCCGGTAATATTTAATTAGTTTTCAATTGTAATAAATTATTTTTAATAAATTTTCCGAATACAGGGAGCCGTTAATATTTGACTAGTTTTTTTTAATTGCAATACTTTAATTTTAATTATTTCTCTTTAAGCTCATTTTATTTAATTTTCCATTTACAGCCGTGCCAGGACCGTGCACTACCACCGTTGTATTTTTTTTTGTAAATATATATATTTTATTACCTATTCCTGTGTTTCTCTTATTACTGGTTCTTAACCGTTCTCTTTCAGGGTACCGTAGGGTAAGAGGTGTAAAGAAGATGTTTTATTTTTATTTATTCTAGTATAGTACCTACCTAGCAGTGACCGCCTGGAATTATTTTTACCTGCATTGAGTTTACCTTAAGTACACGGTGTACTACAGGGTCGCAGAGCAAACTGCGATACCAAAACAGGCGCCTGAGCAACCCCTATTCGGGAATCACCATCATAGCGCCACACAGACTCGCTGATTCTCTGTAGGTGAACCAGAAGCCTGTCACAGGACATCTACGGCCTCCATTTTTCCCGTTACTAAGAATATTACATAAAATAAGTCAACCACCGATTATCCCTATGAGATACCATGAAATTTACTCGTAAGAGGGTGAATTAAGGAAAGCATTATAAAGACTACGGCACCGCATTCATTTGCGAGCCAATTTTGTGGTAACAGAGACCAGCTTCGAATCCTACAAGTACCATATGAATTGATTTGCATGGTTCTCTATAGGATTTGATGTATGCCGTGTTAGCAGAAATTTAATTTCTGTTGATATGACATCCAGATTATATAAATCGCCATGCGTTACCGTTTTCGATGATGGTGGGTGCGGTTTTCCTCACCTGTAAGTCAAATATGGCACTATCAGTCATCTTTAAGTCGTCCCGAAACGCCACAGCAAATAATAATATCGGTCCCTTCCCCTACACAAGTCGCTCAGTCGACTTCAAGCGTAGAAATTTACTCGTAAGGGGGTGAATTAAGGAGAGTATTATTATTATACATTCGGGAATATGCTGAACCCGCCGAGGAATGTTGACGAACCATCAAGAAATAACAATTCTGGTGGATGTACCAGAATTATCGATTTTTAGCCGAAGGACGCCTAGAACGTTCGAGAGCAAGTCTGGAACGCCACATATCTATATAAATAGGCAAAGACAAAATAGTTTAGTACCATTTTCTCTTCTGTTTGTTAACTGATTTTCTTTTTTTAAATTTTGTTTAGTAGCTATCAGAGTTGGGCAGTAGTTAACTACTTTTTCAGAAAAAATAGTTATAAAAAATCCCGGCCAACGGTGGGATTCGAACCTGGGACCCTTGGATCCGCAGGCAGAGACTCTACCACTGAGCTACCCACCCCATACCTTTAGTGTTATCAATAATTTTTTTTTGGAAATAGTATTTTTGTTTTCCCAACGTTCGGTATATGCAATCCATCGACTTAATATAATTTAGACTATAGCGAACTTGAGCACCCTTTAACCAACATGGACGGATAAATGATCGTGAAGAACGAAAAAAAAATTCTCCCCCATTCCTCCTACTTCCCCCTCCTTTTCCTCTGCCACGGCTTTATGGAAAGGTATAGAAAAAAAATAATAGCGGGTTCGTAGGCCCCGTTCGAAACGATTTGAAACCTCCTGACACCCCCCCCACCTTATTCTCCCCACACCCCAGGGTAGGTCGATATAAAGAACCGCTAAACTTAGAAAAATAAACATGGGGTATGATGGATTGGGCTTTGAGGCAAAAACAATTTCACCCACCCCCCAAAGATAATAAATCACTTCGCCCTCCTTAGCGTAGGGAAAGAGGTGAATATGCCCCCCTTCTAAGTTGAGGTAGGGGGTGATAATTTGTTTTTCATAATTCGGGTATTGGTTGTATAGATAATTAAAAAAATCGAAGAGTAGGCTGACCTTCCCCCATCACCTTTTTATACCTTTTCTGGGCTTTTATAATGATTATCAAGTTGAGGAAGGATATAGTATAGAGCGATGGGGATTACCCACATTCGACCCCTCTTTTTTTACGTGCCTCAAGAGTAACCTTATAATAAAAATTGTGTTTCATATCATATAATAAATGAGAGTTTTTAAATTATGAATTACTTTTATTTTATTGAATTTATTTTTTATTTAAGTATAATGTGAACTATGTTGTATTGCAAGTACAATATATAAAAGTTTATGGACTCAGATATACAATGAACGAATGTTTAAATAAATAAACATTACACTATAAAGGTAGGTATTGCAATAACTTAATCTGAGGTAAATAAATGAAAGGTGCATGTCTAGAGCTTGGTTACTGGGGACTTTTGAGCCATAGTTATTTTTAGTTAGAACAAAAGAGCTAAGTTCTACAGAACAATTTGTTAAACGAGCCTTAATTATGAAGTATCAAATATCACGGAAGTGAAAAAATAAAGGTAATTAAATTATTTATATGGTTGAGTATGTATTACATTAATGAGATACTGCTGTAGATGACTCGGGTCACAATAGCAGGGGATACAATTATAAAGAAAATATATGACACCAAAACATTTGCCGAATTTAGTAAAATTTACAATAATTTTCCCCATGCATTAATAATTTTTGAATTATCAACTATAACCCTATCTGTATTTTGAAAACAAGTAACGTTTTACCTAATCATGTTTTGTTTAGGGCCGATTCCACCGTTGTGTTAAACGGAGATTAAAATGACATTGTTAATGTAAAAATGTCATTTTAATCTTCGTTTAACACAACGGTGGAATCGGTCATAAATCGTCTTATTTTTAATCAGAGTATCTTCAGTTGCCCTGTGTATGATCCTTAAAAACTTCTAATAAGCGCATTTAGAAGCATAAGTGACGAAGAAGCGAATGCTTTAAGTTGTGCGAACGTGTATGGAAGATTCTTCACGCATGAAGTTTCTAAAATATTTTTTGAAACGAACAAAACTATTACCTTTAAAAGTCCTAAATAAAATGTTTCATAATAGTTGAAATTTTATTTTAAAATCTAAAACAATGCAAGCCACGACTGCATATAGCATCACTTTTACAGTCGATTTATTTCATTAGACGCTCATAAATTTCCTAATAAAATTGCATGTGAATGTTATTTTATTAATAAACTAAATTTCAATATATTATCAAGACATAGTCATTTTAGAATACCCCGAAGGGCCAATGTGTTTTGTGCAATTTTCCTGATCGACTCGACCGAAACATTTCCCGGTCAACCATTATTACATCACCATTGCATAAGCGAAACGTGACATTTTAGGAGGTGATTTCAAACAATAATGATCAATGGTCTCTTTATATATATCAACCATTAATTCCGAAAATGTTTTGGAATAGTACAGAATAAATCATATAAACATGATTTATTAACGATACAAATATTTGTGAAAAGTTTCACATTAAAAAGTTACTCCTTTATATTTTCTACGGTAACCTTGCGCCGATCCTGTCTTGTCAGTAGCATGGAGGAAAGATTATTAGTCAGTAGTGCCATCTTAAAACTCAGTTATCATGGCGCCCAACTTATAGGGGGGTCAAAAATGATTTTCGATTTCGATGCTGTATCTAGGGTTTCTGAAGCAACGCAAAAATATGCTTAAAACCTGAAAACATCATATGTCATATTTAAAATGTCACTGATCGATTTCAATTAGGCATTCCAAACAAATGAATTACCAGTGGGCAGGTTTGGTATATCTATAAGGGTGGCGACATATGGTGTATTTTATCTACTTTACGTAAAATCATGAATAATGGATTACATTTAAATATTTTATGTCAAACTCAATAAAAGTAATATTTAAAACACCCACCTATACATTTCTTCATAAATTGGCAGGCTTGGCGAGTACTACTTCTAATAAAAATAGCGTCCAAGTTGCAAGACTATGTCGCTACCCCCTTAAATATACAAGAATTTCCCACTGGCACCTATTGTTTGACAGGTCGTTGGAATGCCTAATTTTCGATTTTGTCTCAAGGGTATGGTCTGTGTTTGTCTCGTTCGTGAGGTTATGTTTGATTGTTATTTTTTTAATTTCCCAAACATTTCAAGTTTAAATAAACTCAAATTTATTTTTTATGAGTAGAATTAAAACCTCAAACAATGTCAACCTCTATGGAAGATGTGCTTTTGCAAGTGTCGCAGGTTCGGTACAAAAAGGGGGATGGCACACTCTTTCTTATGGACCAAAGACTCATTTGGATGGTAGAAAATAAAGATACTGTGGTAGTATCGCATCCTTATGCTGATATAAAATGTATGAAGCCTTTGAATTCAATTTGTTACTGTTATAATAAAAATTGTTGTTTTTAGCACAAAAAATTTCACCTGAAGGAAAAGCCAAAGTTCAGTTACAAGTTGTTCTTCATAATGGCGTTTCTTCTACTTTTCATTTTACTAATAAAACAGGGATTCACGGTCAGTTAGCTGATAGGGATAAGGTTAAAGAAATGCTGCAGACTTTGCTACCAAAGTTTAAGAGAAAAGTAAGTACATTTCAGTACCTGAAATTATAATAGTTATGTTAGGATTTTCTTTATATTTAGGTAGATAGAGAGCTGGAAGAAAAGAACAAGCTACTCTCAAGTAATCCTGCCTTACTACAACTGTATAAAGACTTGGTTATGACTGAAGTTGTGACCTCTGAAGAATTTTGGTCTCAACATGCTCAACAGTATACTGAAAAACAAAAACAGCAACCACAAGAAATTGGTGAATATTTTTTTAACGTTTTATAATTTAGTATTTTTATACTATTTCAAACATATCTCTACAGGTAAATACTGAGACAATTAGATTTCTTTTCCTATTTTTAGGTGTTTCTGGAGCATTTCTTGCAGATATCAAGCCCCAAACAGATGGTTGCAATGGCCTTAAATACAACATTACTCCTGATATTATAGAATGTATATTTAAAACATATCCTGCAGTAAAAAAAAAGTATATAGACAATGTCCCATCTAAACTAAGCGAATCTCAATTTTGGACAAAATTTTTCCAGTCACATTATTTCCATAGGCAAGACTAGTTTCTTTTAACACTGATAAATGTTTTTAATGCTTGTTTTTGTTTTAGGGACCGAAAATATGCAGAAAGTAAAGACATATTTACAGAATGTGGTAAGATTGATGACCAAGAAATGAAAAAAGACATACAGACAGGTGTAGATGACCCCTTTGTTAATTTAACTGAGTTTGAAGACAAAACATTAGATGAAGGATATGGTACTGGATCTAATCAATTACCCGGTCATAGTGGCACTGTTAGTCAAGCAATGATTAAAAGATTTAATCAACATTCAATAATGGTAAGTAATTTTACTTTGTTTCATTAAAGAATAATAGATAACTTTTTTTTGTATATTTAACTTGAAAGGAAATAATGGCCTGCATTTGAAGTTGGAAGATGTTATTATTCTAATAAACATTTTTCAATCTCGATGCCAGAGTCCTTGGCCATCAGCATGTAATTGATTGATCGATTTCTATCTTGAACCTTTTTCCTTTGTCTCACCACAGCACATATTAAACAAGATCTATTGAACATTTATGGATACTTATTTTTGCAGTGTGTCTATAGTGATGTTTCTTCTGATGAAATCAATGTATCAAAAATAAAAATAATTGCACTTATTACGGCAGTAATAAAACTTCGTGTACTTTTAAAAGTTATCATGAAATTTGGTAAAATTGTAGTTTGGCTAATTTCCTTTGATGTAGTCATCATCTGGCTCTTGTTTTGTTTTGCATAAAAAATGACAGTTGTTATGGAAATTGAATTCCAAATAGGACACCAAATAAAATGTTACAAAACAATAGTTATATGAGATTTTTTATTATTCAGCAATTTCCTTTGTCTGCTTATAATTGCCCAATTAAGATTTTCAATTAAACACAATTTGTTTTAATAATAAAATTCTTTATTTACTCAAGAAATTTGTTATATATCTTAATAGTACCTATTCCTTGTTATAATAGCATGATATAATCTATAAAGAACATACTATTCTAATTTCTGTTCTTTTTTAATTTTTCTGAATTATGTTTGGTTAAATTTATTTGATTTTGTATTTTTAACTCTAATGTGTAGGTACATCACTGCATGAATTATTAAGTATTCACTTTATAGAATTATATTTTCATTTTACACTTTGAGCTCCTCATGTCTCCTTGTTGTGGTAACCTTAGGCACGCTTAGTTATCAATTTGCTATCACCCTAATGTTGTATTAGTGAAATAGTGAACTGATGGATACATTTTTTTACTTTAATGGTGATGATTAACATTTGAGTATTTCTAGGTTCTAAAATCATGTACAACCAAAACAACTGCAACGCCTGCACAACAAAATGGAACTGATCCTAATTTTTCAAATATAAATGGTGAGAACACGAGTGGTGAATCTACCACTTCAGCTGCAGTGGGTAAAAGAAAGAGACTGTTAGAAAAAATAACTTATGATGATTTAGAAGATGTCGAATCTAAGAAAAATGCTACAAGTGTTCACTTAAATTTATCGAAGGTAAAGAATTCTTATAATTATTAAAATTTTTCAAACTAATTATTTGTTTTTGTCAATAAATTAGATTGAACGTTATCTTCATGGACCAATGCCAGATTCTAATACTGACTATATAAATTCAAGTGAAGCCTCTTCAATTTTAAGAGGTGTAATTCAAGAGACTAGACAGTGGAATAGTAGGTATCCAGCTACTTCATTAGTAACCCCTGCTGCTGCTGTAGGAGCGTTAGGAGAACTGTCTCCTGGAGGGGCCCTCATGCGAGGTTTCCAGGAGCAATCGCTTGCACGTAAGTCTTCCAAGTATTCTTTGTAACCTTATAATGTTAAATATAAAGAATTTTTATGCTAACTGAAACAGTAGACATTTATTTTCTTGTCACTTAATTGGTTTATGTCATTTCAGAATTAGTACCCCCTGATATAGAAAAAGAGGTTAGGAATCTCTATTTAGCCTTATGTGAGTTACTGAAACATTTCTGGCGATGTTTCCCTCCCACAACTTCTACTACAGAGGTCAAGTTAATCAAAATGCATGAGGCATTGAATAGGTTTCATACAGCTAAATTAAAACCGTTCGAGGTAATTAATAATTATTATTAACCGATTATTAATTTAAATACTTCATTCTGTAACTCAGAGGTAAACTGCACTGTCATTCTAGTCAACTTTTCAGTAGAGCAGATTGAATGTTGTTTGGACAATTTTTGGGCTCCATAATTACATTTTATTATATTTTGACAATAAATGCAATTAGACACCCAATTATTATCACAAAGTTTATGTATTGTTTACTAATCTAACTAATAAAACTTCCTGTTTTTATTTGCTTAAATTGTTGGTTTTTATGACATATTTCTATGTTCTCATAGAAATTTAAGAGAATTTAACACGGGTTAAGAACACTATGTTTAATGCGTAAGTTTAATAAACATCGTATTAGATTTTTTTTTTGGCTTTTTTGACTAATACATGGTGTGGCATATCCCTGGAAAGGTTTCGATGAGCTATGTTTAAAAATATAACTTTTATAAAACTGCACTATGTCGACATAGCACAGTGTACCTCCGAGGTACAGCGTTGTTCTATGGATTAATTTAGTAATTTATTTTACAGGATAAACTATTAAGGGAACTTTCGCCTCTCTCACATCACCTTACCAAACATTTGAATCAGTTACTGAATGCAGCATATCAAAAGTTCAGTAACTGGCAGAAGATCAAAAGTCGATGAAATCCCAAAACTGCCAATTTCCAGTATTTTTTAATTTGAAGAAGAAAAGAAACATAGAAAGAAATAGCAATACGAAACAAGTTTACAGTACCTTTTAATTTTTTATATAGTTCTCAGTTATTTCTTTTTATGAGGGTACTGTGAAATATGTTAATAATTTATTGTAAAGAATTTTTATGCCATTTTTATTAATTTATTTTTGTTGTGTATTGTTATATATTAAGTAAAAAAATTGGGTAATTTTAAGCTTTATTATTCCCTTTTTTACCATATTGACTAGTAAAATATGAAGATGTGTTGCGTTAAACAAAATCTAGGATCGTTGCTCGTTCTGATAGCCCATTCCTCTCCAGCAAACCCAAAATATTACTCTCATGAAATAGGGTGACCATATATGTACAGCATTTCGCTGTATTGTACAGTATATTCAAAGTATGTCCAGCATTTGATCTTGTACAGCCAAACACCGTATTTGTCCAACAAGGTCCAAGCAATGTGATACAACGTTAGCTCTTAATTTATATTTTTAAATTTGCGCGCCGCGCCCCTGAACAATGAACGCTGTGAATCCTGTGAATGTTTTGGTCCAGACATAGAAAAATAAAAAGGGTCCAGACAGACATGCTGCAAGCATGGAGGAAGATGAGTTGGCCATAAGCGGCAATCGCCGATTGTATTCTGACAATTAAATGAGTTTAATTGAATTATCGTGTTTAAATATAATTGAAAATGAGTCCGAGTGATCTAATTTCGATAAACAAATAAATAAACCTAACATACATAATTTACGGAAACGTAACAAATAAGACAAAAATGTAATACACATGACTTCTCTTTTTGTATTTATCTTAGGGGAGCTAGAAATTATAGATAAATAAATAAAAAATAACGAAACAAGCAAATTTCCTTTTTCCTTGCAGCTTAAAATCGTGCTGACGATCTAGTTATATACAAGTCCAACCAACAGTAGAAAAAATTATCAAAATGCTGGGTGAATTGTCCCGAAGGACATTGCCCATAAAAGGAACAGAAGAAGAAAATTATCAAAATAAGAAGATAATGTTAGGTTATGTTTTATAATTGCTCGGAGTTTTATAATAAAATAATTTAAATTTCAAACGAGTACATTAATCTGCTTTCCAAAATAATATTTAATGACGCTTAATGCAATATATAGATCATTTAACCTTTCTTCAAAAGTTATACAACCATTTTCAGTACAATGTAGTCAAATTCATACCTCGCCATCCAAACTTGCATGGCAAAATGAAGATAGATCTACAAAAAAATGGTTAAAATACAATGAAAAAATGTATCCACCGCAAGGACCCGATGAAGAACCCAGACCAGCAGTACGTACACATTAATAAATCTCTAATTTCTATCAATTTTTTGATGAAAGCTGTAACATCTTATGTTTTATACTTAATTTAAAAATATTTTTACCTTGATGTTAAGACATATATACAGTTATTATAAGTGATAATTGATTGTTTTTTGAGAATAATTTAACATCAAATGACCTCAAACATTTGGTTGTTACAGTTTCCAATTGAACTTTAATTTTTTTGTTGAGTATGGCTCCTTTGAATTAATACCTTACGAATTTTTGTATTTTTAGTTTGTTTGTCATCAAAGAACTAATATTAAGTATAGTCCATGGAAAATGTGGTATGTAGCCTGTCTAATTAGAGGAATGCCAGTAGATGAAGCAATAAAGCAATTAAAATTTGTTCTTAAAAAGGGAGCTAAAGATGTAAGGGAAGTTTTGGAAGAAGCAAAGGTAATGGCAGCCAAAGAACACAATGTTGAATTTCCAAGTAACATGTGGGTTGGTAAGTAAAATATAAATACATTTTCTGAAAATTAATAAAGATTTGTTTCAATCATGGGTAAAGTGACCATCCCTCCTGATTTAGGCAAGACAGTCCCGATTTTGTCCAATTATTATGACTAATTTTTGCTCTTCAGAGAACCAAACACATCACTACTGAATAGAATTCAGATTTGTCCTGCTTTCTACTTTTTAAAATATGGTCACTTTAATCATGGGGCCTAAAATTTTTAGTATATTACCACTGGGAATTAAATCCATGAATATAATTTTATTAAAAAGTGTCAAGTATTTATTTTTGAAAGGAGGTAGTACATAAATAGACTAATGCACAAACAATATTAATTTTTATTATAATTTTTGTTGAAGTTTAAGTAACTACTATTATTTTCCTTCTTATTTTTATATATTAACCTTTGTCATATGGTGCTGTCAATGTCACAATTTTCAGGATATTATCATAAAATTTCAATTTTTTGCTTTGCTGATTTAATTTATTGTCAATTAGCAATTTCTTAATATATTTTTCAGTTATTTACTAAAATACATCTTATAATTCTTATTAAAAAAACCGTTTGACCCCGCACCATATTTTGCTGTTATTTATGCAATCCGAACAAAGATAGAAAATGCAGACAAATGTGCTGCCAGTGCAATTGTTTTGTGTGTATAACACTCTAAAAAACAAATTATGTGTAAAAATGTCAGACCACTAAAGAATATACCTGATTTGTTTCATATTTTTGTTTTTTTATTATAACCAGTATTCCATAAGGTTTTCTGTTAAATATTAAATTGAATCAATATTTTTTGTTTTGTAATGACTTTTTTTAAATAAACATATTTTAGTAAAATTAGGAAGGCGAAAAACTGCATTTTTACAAATCTACTCTGCACCGTATTCCGTGTAATTTTTTTAGCACCATAGGACTAAAATTAATGAAATAAAAAGGTATTTTTTTCTTAAAAAAAAAGAATTATAAACAACAGCATAAAAGACCTAAGTATTGAAGGGATTATAATACAAATTGTTAGTTATGAGAACTTTGCATTATAATAGACACTGTTATTACCTTTGTCTATTTTATCTTTAATTTTGACTAGCTCTTAGACATATATCAAATTACCTTAATAGGTCTTAATCCAGTTAGATACCAAATGAGCATATATAGCAGGGGCAGAAGTTGGAAAGGCTTTTGCCAGTTCTCCCACTTTATACACACAAATTGACAGGTTTGCTGCGGATCTCACCAAAGTGGACGTGAAACATTGATGTACAAAATTATTTTATAGATGTTAATAACAATTTCGAGTAAATAGTTTAATAAATTATAAATACTTAGCTGTTGAAATTTTGTAGAATTATGATTTGGATATTATAATACATGTTTAATAATTATTTATAGTCCAGAAATACATGCGATTGTCCGGTTCCGCCTGTAACAATTTAAAATTACTTATTCTATGAAACGACACTGGCAAGTAAACATTACTGCGAAATTCTCGAAGCCGACCAACGTGGTTTGACGTTTACCCCCTCTCTACCTACCAAAAGTCTTCAACTTATGTCCCTGCTATAAGACTGTAGTCTTCTCAGTCGTGAATTCAGGCTTTTCTAATAGAAACTTTTGGGGAATATGTTAAGGGTATATGGCCACCAATAACTATTTTAATTTTAAAAAGCTGGTTACCAAAAGGTCAAAACTGATCAACTCAAAAGCTTTATATAATTGTAGCAAAAAGAGAATTGTCACCATTAAAAATTAAGATTCAAAAAGAATATAAATAAATTTTGGTTTATTTAACAGTGGAAATGTTTATACACTTTTACAATTACCAAATAAAATTTATGTGTAATATTATAAATCCAAATCAAAGAACAGGCGAATTTATAAGCATTTGCAAACACTAAGGTTATCCAATAAATCTTGTCCAGAAAATTTGACCATCATACAAGATAATAGGTTTGTTCGTAGAGCGATCCACAACCGTTTCCAACTGAACAGCGCATGCGCATTGATTATTTTGCGTTCGTAGAAGAATCACTGATAGTTTCCAATTATTAATTTGGTGTTCGTAGAAACAAATGAAGTAATTGCCAACTGATTGGAAACGGTTGGAAAAATCCCTGATTATTCTCCGAATTTTAAATCCGGGGCATGCGTACATGAATTATTTTTAATAACCTACAATTTGACATTTGTTTGGCTTGAAATTTATGTCCGATTATGTGTTTTTAATTCGTCAATACTTATATTGATTAGTTGTTTTTATAAGTGTAATTAGTACAGATACATAACAATTAATAAATAACATAAGACCACAAAGACCTACCATTCAGTATCCTGATAAAATATCAGCCTTTAACTTTAAAACAGGTAATAAAAGTAAAATATGTTGATAAAATGGGAATTTGGGTGCAAATTATAAACACAATTTCTTCTGTTTTTTAACCGTTTACTAAATCTATATCTAATTCACGAGAATAGTAGAGAAGAATCCACAACTGTAAAACATGCGTTCGCAGAGCATAAAAATGACAATAAATCCCAAACCGTTGAAAATCGCGCATGCGCATCATAAAAGAATCACCAACCGTTTGAAACTGTCTCTACGAACAAACCTATTTTTACCAGTTGGCGTCTATGATTTCATAAATAAAAAATAAAATAGGCATAATACTCTCCTCAATGGGCTTTACTAAATCGATACCAAGATACAGATGTGGGAATCAGGACGTTGATTCTCTGCGATTCAACTCGAGTCGACTTTTATTTCCTTAATGTAATACAATTACAACAAGGCTCAGCTTTGATAGTTAATCGATCCTCAGACTGACAAATATTCGCTCTCTAAACAAAAATAAATTCTGTTTTTTACGATACCCTTACAAGAGATATAAGTTAAACTTAAACGTCAATTCCTGACGTGATAAAAGGTTAACCGGTTCGACTGATTTTGACCGGTTTCAGTTTAAACCGGATTGTTACTATTATAACGGGTCCGGATATCTGGTCAGATTATCCGGTTAACCGGTTCGATTATATGGTTAACCCGTCCGATCAAACCGAGCCAGTTAGAACGGATTCGTCGGTTTAACTGTAACCGTGACCAGTTAAACCCGTCACTGGTTTATCCGTTACTGGTTTAACTTTAACCATCACCGGCTTAATTGTGGCAAAACACATCCACCAAATCCTTTGTTTTCAATAGAAATGGGATCACTTTACTAACCATTTCACCTTTCCTTACTTTGGAATGTTTATATTTTTTATAAAATAAATACAGTCTCATTTTGTTTTACTTACTTTTAAATGTATAAGTTTTAAAAATATCGATGTTTATAAATATCGTTTTTTTCACTTCGGTCATTTTAATGCCATCGATACTTTGTTTTTGGTATATAATTCGATGTCAGTATCTTCGTTTTAAAAAATATGCGCATCCCTACTAATACCTCAAACTATACTTGTTAATTTACGTTCACGGTCTCGCTAAAACCGGTTTTGGGTACAGTGAAACCAGTTACGCCTCAACAAGTGACATGTTTAACCGGTTCGATTGAAGTTACACCGGTTGCGGTTAAACCGGTTACGTTCTTTAACGGTTTTTTTGGTCCTACGGAACCGGTCACGGTTACCAGCTTTACTAAAAATTAATATTAACCATATGGAATTCCAGCAAGATAAAAATAATTAATAAACACGTCGAATAATTCAAAATTGATTTTCAAAAATAATACTAATTAAAAAAGGTAGAAATGTAAAAACTAATTAGATTTTTCCAATGACATTAACAACTTACCGCTTTACCGAACTGTCCAAGTCAACGATTGATTTAGAGAAGGTAGAGAAATGAATTCACACAGCAAATGCTAGGTTTCTAAATACATTTTCCACTCAGCAAGGGTGGCGACGATTACATTTTAAATAATTTTAATAGAAATTAATTAAAATTAAACTATATATATCTCATTTAAAATGTTACATATTGAGATCAATTAATCAGTTTAATAGTACAGGATACGAAGTAAGGTGACCCTTCGCCCATCTGCTAAGCAGATGAAAGGTATTTTTTATTAAATAAAATGTGTTATTAAATATACGTGATTTCCCTAAAATGAACCGCATTCGAGATATTTGAGGGAAAGTGCAAATTTCGAGTATAACTCAAAAACGGATCAAAGAGAAACAACACAGATTCATTCTTTATTCTCATATATAATTTTAAATCATCTGCAAACATTAGGAATGGGGCAAAGACAAAACAGGATCCGATGCAATGTTTATGGTGTGTATGTTGTATTTAATGAACATGATTTTTCAATGCTAGATCAGTTTCAACGATTTATATTTTGCGTTTGAGATATAAGTTGCCCGCGCGACGCGTAGCAGACCATGGGCAATCTAAAGAAAGTGGCAACGAACTTTTCGTTCAAAATGCACATAAGATTTTTTCTACGATCACATCATTTTAAGAAATAGATATAAAAACTGAAAATGTCAAAAAAAATTGTCATAAGTAGTGTATAATGAATTGCCTATATTTACCTAAAACGTGAAAAAAGGATTTGATATTCAAAGTCAATGTTAACTTGGATAAATAAAACAAAAAAACGTACGTAAAAATAACTTGAAAATCACTGTACTTAATTAAAATTAGGTAGCAAGCAAACATTTATCGCGCTGTCACTTAATATCAGTTCGCGGAAAACATCAACTTTGCGGTTGTATTTTAAAGTGCAAAACCCTATTTTGGATAGTGATTGTAGAAAAATAAGTTTTTATGCAAATTTTTCATTGTAATTCCTTCATCAACTTTTGAACACTTCTCGGTATTTCTATACAAAATATATTTTAAAATAATAAACAGCCTTTATTTGATTGTAATATACAATGCGCAGAAACACCAAAATACCTCTTTTCTGATTATACATATTTATGTCTCTACCTTTCATTACCAAAACTACACTTCATTTTTGTTGTGATTGGGAAAACTTATATTTTATAAATTTTTAGCTGAATCATTTGTTGGCAAAGGAACCGTCATCAAAGGCATCAGACGACACGCTAGAGCAAGATTTGGCACAGTGGAATATTTTCATTGTCATTATTTCGTAAAATTAGAAGAAGGAAAACCTCCTAAACATTACTATCAACCTAGTAAAGAACCCAAAGAACAACTAGAAGATTGGTTATCTCAAATGAGAAGAAGAAAGATAACAAGTTCTCTGTAAAAATAGTTTTAGAATTTAGAGTTATGTATATATATTCAATATATAAAGTAATGCAAAATTGGTAGTAGTATCTTATTTTAATAGACATTAACAATTATTTTAATATACAATAAATAAAAAACTATAACAATAAATATTACACCTAATATAATTTATATATTAAAATTAAGCACTACTAAATAAATATGTTAGTAATTCAGGCTTGCTCATTTCCCTTTTATATTTTTGCACAATCTCTTGAATTTTTAATCTTCTTCTAAGATGTGGTGGTTGGTAGCTAAAAAAATAAAATACAATTTTATGCTTAGAGGAAAAAAGTTTTAAAATCTGTGAACGTACAGTGCAATACATTACATTTACAGATGTTACTGTTCATCTCAAAATTCCTATGGTCTACCTAAACTTCAATATTCGTTCAAGGAAGGGCTCACCTAAGTCGGACTTAGCGAAATCAGGTTTATAAAATAGACCTTAATATATACCAGATATTTGTTGAGCAGACAAGTATTGGATACGATTAAATTGTAACGCGATTTAACACCTTGACCGCGGCACATGATTTAATTTATGTGAGGCAGGAAAATCACCAGTACCTCTCTAACTTGCGGAATTATTAACTTCGTTGTTTTTTAACAGATTTGAATTAAACTTGTAGCAATAGGGTTGTAACTTAATATAAAACAGTGTTAATGTATTTCTGTCTCAAATGCCTAAATTGGCGTGTCGCACAAAAGTAATAACATTTTTTATTGTATGTGGCAGACATTTTTCGGCGTGCAAAATGAGCACCAAACAAGACATTTTGTAAGGACAGTGTTTGTAAACATGAGCAAGTCAGTCACGTTTTAATTGCTAAGAAGTGAAACGATCAATGTGTTTGGTGAATCTTGTGATACATAACACAGCCATCTTTGAAATAGCATTTTTAATACAAAAATCTAACACAAAACAATAAAAAAATGAAATTCTGTTAATGGCATCGAATCCAGGAGGTCAAAATTTATAAAGATTGGTGCGGTACATGTGCAAAAGTAACATAAGAAAGACAGCTTTCCATGGCGTTTAGATAAAACTCTTCTCACATGCCTTTAAAGGCTCGTGCCACACATTGGTAAATAATCATGACATGCTATACATGTCATTCAAATTAGGCGCGCAGTCAACGTGTTAAAATGCTACCAAAAATGTATTGTCCAAATTGGACTGACCCCATAATAAATCTTAAGTTAGAATACGTTCGATAGGTGGTATGAAATGCAAATATGCTGATCATCAAAGTTGTCCGGTTGGACAGCTTACAAAGATGACCTCTACGAATATTATTTGAAAGGAACGCCATAAGAAAAATACTGGGAGCACTGAAGAAAAATGGATTTTGATGAGAGATACAACCACGATATTATAATATTTCCAAAGACTCGTCAGTACCAGATTTTATTTGTATACAATGACTACCTAGTGCTGGACACGTTAATAGAATGGATGTAAGACTGCCAAAAAAGGGACAAGAGACAAACGAGAAAACCAAGAAAGTGATGAGAAGACACAGTAAGGAAGTCACCAAACTATTCAGTGTCAGAAGCTGGAGGAAAACAGCAGATAAACATGAATTGAAAAAGTATTTTACCATAAAAGAGAAATATATTTTTTGGCTTGTAAACGAGTACGTTTATATGAGCCCTAACCACTATATGTTCGACCTTTTTATAATTCTATTTCCGTTATATATTAGGAAATTTAAGGTTGAAGAACATCTATTTTTTTACTTAAATTTAATAGTTGTTGATGTTTCTACTATTTGTGAAAGCATGACGCACCATGATCTTAATTTTTTTAAAAAAACAGTATCTAATCGAAAGATAAATGACCATTTAAATGTTCGAACAATATCTTCCTCAATTATTAAATTAAATGACTTTGGAATTTCTGACTTTTAGAATTTTTTACGTGTTTGACGCACATAATAAACATTAACTTATTTTGTTGGCTTTGGAATTTTTGACATTTAGAATTTTTTACGTGTTTGACGCACATAATGAAACACTAACTTATTTTGTAGTTTGACGTTTTAAGTTGTTGAAAGGTGACGGTATCTTTGTGACAGTTTCTAACGTAATTTTTTTTATTCGTTATTGGAAATGGGTCGCGGTAAAGCAACTCCAAAACAATTTAGGGATTTGATCATAAACAAATATAAACATAGGTTTCCTAATAAATATCTGAAAAGGAACAAATAGTGGTTAGGATTCGTATATATGTATTTTGAAATTAATGAAAAATTGAAGTGTTAAATTAGGCATTCCGTTTTAAACCTTTACGAATCTATATTCATTCTAAAGCTTGATATTATGTACCTGTCGCTGTCTAGTCGTCTTCGTCTAGCCATATTCATTGCAGTATGTCTAACTAGAGGCCCTAGTGCTCTTCTACTAACAACCATACCGTCTACCAATGGTGAGGCAAGTCCAACTCTACCACTTACTCCTTGTAAATGCACCCTCAACAGTCCAGTAGACATTATTTGTAAGAAAATTACAAACACTTCACTAACTTTTTGGCTAGTTCCTTTTTCCAAACCTGTGTTCATACAATTGAGTAGATCACCTAAAATAACAGTATGCTAACAATATTCATTTATAAAAATAGAGCTATTATAACAACTGGGATTCTAAACCATTAAAATGTATAATTTTAAAGTTATTTACCTATTGGCAAAGTTAAGTGATCTTCAAAGCTCTCCAACCAAACTACCATAATTTTGGTATTGGTATGAGGATGCAAAATTGACTTGTGCACGGATCTTTTTGGTGGAATCGGCTGCTTATCTAAATCTAAACTTAAAGCTCTTTTATCTGACCAACTCTTTTCACTCCATGCTAAAAAATCAATTGATATTGATAAATTCTGTTTTTGTTTTCATATAAAATGTTCTTACATGACAAAGTGCTTGCATTGAAACTAGATTGCTCGGAACTTGCTTCAACTGGTTTACACTCTGAAGGTATGACAAAAGCTATTTCGGAACATGCATCTGCCCAATAAAGGATATGAGAGGAACCATCATATGATTTCTGCTTTTTCGTTGGTTGCTGAATCTCCGTATTTGGAGGTATTTTCCAACTTGTAGATATATGACCAGTCCAACCTAAAAAGGGTTTTCAAATTATTACTCAAGAAAGATGTTAAATGTCCCTATATTACATTCTATTATTTATTAAATTTTTGATTCAAAATTGTAAATAAAATTATAGGATACATACCTGGATGACTACTGACTTCGACTGGCCATCCTAAACTATGTATAAACTCCGAAAAATAAGGGGATATACTGCTTTCATTTAAAATATTACTGACAATATCTTGGGCATGAGTTTGTTGAGATTTTACATAAAAAATATGAACCGTGTTACAAGTTCTTGGACTCATACTATCTAAAATGCTCAGATCTTTACAAAAATCGCTCGCGCTGCTGTCTAATACTGCTAAATGTGAGTTGTCTTCTTGGATATTCTAAAAAATAATAGAGAATTAAAAAGAGAAATAATGCCCTCTTCATAAACTATTTTACCGGAGATTCTTCTAAAGACAACAATCCGAAATGTGACAAAAATAGACGTGCCGTTTGAAAATCATGACAAACTGGTGGTGGGGAATATTCGTCTAAATTCTCTTGTGAATGAGAATTATTTATATTGTTTTCTATTACAGCTTGTTTATTAACAAGTTGGGATATTTTGTTAATTTCTTTATTTACAGTTTCGTCGCCCGATAATACTGAATCTAATGAAGGAATTGATTGATCCCTAAAAATATTTGTACATTACTTATGTGAAAATTCTGCAACGTAGGCTTAAATGACCAGAATAAAATATTGCTATTTACGTAATTGAACTGCGTCATTTTGAGTTTAGGATACGTTTCGTCATTATACAGACTCTACAGTATATGTAGCGAGAGATGAGATAAGTTAAGAATATAAAATTCGAAAACTAGAATGACGATATATAATGCTTGGCATTCAGTATTATACTCTTCACAGTTTAACATACCCCTTACTTCATTTTTGGTGTTTGAAAGCTATTTTTTTTATTTCAACCCCCATTTTGTTTATACTTTTTTTTTAGATAAGTAGGCTTTGTCTCCTTATAGAGCTTGATTTTTACTAAAAATTTCAAGTTGGTATCTTTTTTCGTTTTTGAGCTCTGGTTTTATATTCTCCGCAAGTTGCAAGTAAACAGTGCCAAAAATCAGTATTTTTTAAGGGCCTTCAAGCTTTTAATTGGTTACCCCTAGAACTCATCCTAAGAAGACAGAAATGGCCCTTTTCACAAGGAAAATGATGAAAATGGAATTAAAACATCCAGAAGTTTAGTTTTGTGTTTAGAAAACAAAACTAAACTTTGCAACAGAAGTGAAAGGTACTCTCACCTTTGACAGCAAGTAAACATGGAACTCGCATTTATAAAACAGAGTCAAAAGAGCACAAGAGTATACAACCGTGGGGCGTACCTGGGGTTTCTCCCCCAGAGTCGTCGCATGGACTTACACGGCTATCATAAGGCCTATGCTAGCATACGGTGCAGTTGTCTGGATACCGAAAAACCAAAAATCCGTAAACTAGAACAAATTCAAAGAAAAACGTCTCAACATAAGAGGAGCCATGAAAACAACACCTACCAGAGCCACGGAAGTTATTCTTAGTCTCACTCCCCTTGATATTTACATCAAGGAGGTTGCTGTGACGACAATGACACGCCTCCACACCGTTGGAATAGAACCTAATGTAGGATCTGGTGAGGCGAGACATCGCTTTTGGCAGGGGGCACTCAATACGCTCCCACTGCATCAAGCGAACATGGACTACATCTCACCGAGATATATCTTCCATAAGCCATATAAAGTTATAACAGAACGTACGATTCATATCTACAACGATGGTTCTAAAACAAAACAAGGCTCAGGATGTGGAATATATTCCAAATTCTTGAACCTAAATATAAAACAGGCTGTGAGCAATAGTGCCAGTGTAGTTCAAACAGAGCTAACGGGGATTCTCATAGCAGAAAAATCACCAGAAACAATATCACTGGAAGGAATATGCTCATCTATACATATAGCAGATAATCACTACTCACCATGAACGAATTTACTCAGGGTTACTACTAGAATGTCAAGAAGCTTTGGCCGAAGTATCCATCAACAATGTGATCACCTTAAGATGGATCAAGGGTTACGCCACATCGAAAGGTAACCGTGTTGCTGGATTCACTAGCCAAGAAAGCAGCCAACTAAATTCTTTTTGGACCTGACCCTTCTATTGGCCTGACAAAATCGGTAGTGCCACACCTAATTAAAGATCATTCCCTTGTGAAATTCATGGAAAGATGAGATGAAACAAGAAACTGCAGAGTTGCCAGGGAGCTCTTAAGTTATCCTGACAACACTGCAGCAAACAAATACTTGACTGTGACTAGACAGAATCTGCGCCTAGTCACAGGTATTCTGACTGGTCATTGACAAGTACGGAAGCATCTCCATATCATGGGGCTGTCAGAATCCGCATTCTGCAGAGGGTGCGAACAAGAAGATGAGACCATCGAGCATATCATTTACGATTGCTCCACGCTCTCATTTATTAGAATATTTGTGTTCGGCAAGTATCGGCTAACAGCGGCCGATATAAGAGAAGCACCTCTTGGCGGGCGACGACTACATTAAATTTGTAGGCTGGCCTATCAAAACCCACTGGTAGCCATTTGGTTTGGAATGCCTAATATGTTTCACTTTCTTATAGATTTTTAATTTCAATATCATTTTCTGTTTCTGAGTTTATTCAGATTTTTTCAGAATCAATAGGATTAATTCCCTTACAGAGCTTGATTTTTACTAAACATTTCATATTGATATCGCTTTTGGTGTTTGTTTTTATATTTTGTATTTCAACCTCCCTTAACCCCCTCATTATCTTTACAATTTTTTTTTAAATCAATAGGCTTTGTCCCCTTATAGAGCTTGATTTTTGCTAAAAATTTGAAGTTGATTATATTTTTCGTTTTTGAGTTACCCCCCCTTAAACTTCCCATTTTTATTTTCTTTTTAATTCAAAGCAGGGTCACTTTACATTGCTTCAAATTTCATAAATTTTGGAGTCCATTTTTTAAATCGCTTTACATGTACAGATGTTATTAAATTTTTTAGCATAAAGCGCTTTAGTGCGCTACTAACTGGTCAAGCAAACTTGGCATTAACTATTTACAGGAAAAACGGTACCCTGTAATTATCGAAGTTTCACAGTTTAACCGTAGATATTCAAAATGATGCGGTCCAATTACAGAAAAAGATTATTCGTTTTATTCCTATTTAAAAATATTCTTACACTTTGCATTGCATAACTCGGTCAATACTGTCTGGAAAATATTTTTGCTTAACAACTGGCCTGACAGGAGTGTCTTGCATCACTACAGGTCGACATGCATTATGAGCGTGATACTTGGTACCCGATTTATGCCTTGGTAGATGGCGTAATTGCATCGTCCAAGCGTGGCGACCAAAAGGGCCTCTAATAAGCAGAGTAACTGTTGGCTGAGGATCCTAAAATGTAATTTTTTTGTTTGTTAAACATGTGACAAACTTTCAAATTATTCTTAGTCTTCTAACCTGATCATTGCCCAAAGGTTCTTCAAGTAACGCAAGCATAACCGATCCTTCAGTAACAAAGTACCGAAACTTTTCCACAGCTGCCGATTGGTCATTACATTTTGTAGGCCATGAATTGCAATGTTTCAACAACGACAATTCATCCAAGAGTGAAGAGATTGATTCAGGTCCGCACTCGCTAGGAAAATACGAAACTTGTTCAAGTATGCAGGTCAGTAGATTCTCGGCAGCATCTCGTACTCTCATTGAGGCAGGCTTTAAATCCTTTTCTTCTTTCATTTTTATGGGTTCGCCTGGTTTTCCTACAGATTTTGTTCCCGATATTCCTAATTCTGCAACCTCTAATACCTAAAACGTTTTAGTGTTCAATCAGAAATTAAAAGAAACATTACATTATTTATATATTTACTGTAGTTAGACAGTCTTTGTCGCGTAGCAAATAAGGATGTTCTAGTAACCAAACGGAACAACATTGAAATGCGGCAACTATGGTTGAATGGAGATCTTTAGAATGAGCTGGAGGAGGTCTAGAGCATTGAGAAACTATATAATCACATAACCATTTTACTGCTCTTTTACATTCCATAGCATCTAAAAGAACATTTTAAATTATGGCTTTGATATTCGAGATTAAACTAGACACCTACCTGACCCCTTGATATGAATTCTTGCTAACCCAGATAGAAGCTCCAGGGCAGCCAAAGACACATTTAAATCCGTTTTCCAGGACGAAATCAAACGATGACACACTAAATATGTGGCTCTAACGAATAGAGCATGTGCTGAATCTACAAGAGTATCTAGTTCAAATTTTAAAAAATAGAGTTAAAATATAACGAGTAAGCTTTTTTAATTAGAGGTAGCAAATTTTATCAAATATTACAAGTTAGTGTATCAGGACACAAAATACTTAAAACTTTTAAAAGTAAAAATCAAGCAATATTAATAAAAATTATAAAAAAATACTAATGCAGGTATAGAAAAGGCAAAACAGATTCAATACGTACTGGAACTTTTTTTTTCTTCAAATTCTGACCATTTTAATGGTTTCCGACCAAAATGTTGTTTAACAATTACTGTCAAATGAAAATTAATTCCAGTCCATAATGAATATTTTTTTTTAGCGAAAGAGAATACCTTTGGGAGAATTGTATTAGAAGGAAAACTTTTTCAACATCAAACATACCTAAAGGTAGTAACAGTGGATCATACTCATTGGAACCAAACTGATCAGGTGTGGTAGAACGATCACTGCTAGCCATGCTCGCCATACTTGCTGTGTCAGAAGCTATACAAGCCATCATACAAGCCAATACAAGTACAAAATTATCAAAAATAAAAACAAACAAAAGTGCAATTTTGAAAATGTCAAAATAAAATAAATTAACAAGGACGCCCTTTCTCAGTATTAAATCTAATATGTAGATTGTCAAACTCAACTGATATTTTATTGTCAAGACAATAATTAATTCTGCCAATTCAAATAAAGCGATAAATTGCTAGACAAGAATAATGCTGTAATTATTATTTATTTTTATTTAAAACTGTTATACAAGACAAATCTCAATTATGTAACAGGATAATAGTAGGTACAGTGATGAAAAAAAAAAAAAAAAGGGTGATATATATTTAACTATCTTTTGCAGGATTTTTAGAAACCCGAAAAAGCAGTTTAAGAGATATTTCAGTACCTCGGAGGTAAACTGTACTATGTCATCATAGTGCAGTTTTATAAAAGTCGGCTTATCGAGACCTTTCCAGGGGTATACTACATCATGCATTAGTGACGTTACAATAAAAGTTAGCAAAATACACCATATTCAATAAACTTACGAGGTAAACAACGCCATGTGCACATAGTGTTTTTAACTATCATGTTAATTTTTTTTAAATTTCTAAGAGAACATAGAAATAAGTAATAAAAACCAACAATTTATGCAAATTAAAAAAAAATAGGAAGTTTTATTAGTTAGATTAGTAAACAATACATAAATATGACAATAATTGAGTCTAACTATATATAATTATTGAGCACAAAAAGTGACCAAACAACATTCAATCTGATCTACTGAAAAGTAGTGCAGTTTATCTCCGAAGTACTGATTTGTAAAAACGTATAATAAATTTTCGTTATTTTTTTATTGTGAAACGAGTTGTTTGACTTAATGTGATATATTAATCATTAGATTGTAATTTGAAAGTTTCATGTTCAGATACAATAGAGTATTCTTTTCAAAAAAACCGTTAGATATCCCTAAGAGATTTAGGTATCTTCTAAGGCCACAGTGTCCAGTAAAAAGTGCTATCATAGTTTTATGTTCTTTTCTGCTAAGGTGTAGCCCTTGATTTTGTCTACTCTTAGATGGACCCTCTGTGAATATTCTGGACAGCTTGAGTCCAGGAAGTGTCAACCAGAGCTTAAAGTGTTCTCTATTTACCTCTTTCATTAGCACCCTTTTAGGATGTTGATATGAAAAATACCACAAGTAAGTTTTTGTCTAGTTAATTTTCTCACCTCCATTACTAGGTCTGCTTTCTCGTTTTCCAACATTCCCTCAGTACACATTAAAAAATTATCTTATTATGTTCTGCCAGGGCTTGGAGAGACTGTTTGTAGTCCAATATCAATGTCTACCATGATCTGGGCATATAATTTTATTATATTGTTACTTCAGCCTGGAAGACTGATCCCAGGTTTATGTTAATGGTCTTCTCTCAGTTCACATAATAAATCTCTGTGCTGTTTTGCATCTTTGAACCATCTGCATACCAGAATGATTCATTTTTTATTTTCGGTATTTTATTATCAAAAGGTTTCATAAAGTCAGATGGCATTATTAACAATGGAATTTATATGCAGATGACCTGGTCATTCTCCAAACAGGGAATTTTGAGAGCGAAAGAATGCAAGTAGCTCTAAAAATTATAGAATAGTGGTGTAAGGACCATTCACTGTCTATCAATCCTAAGAAGACAGAAATGGTCCTTTTCACAAAGAAAAGGATAAAAATGAAATTAAAACCTCCAGAACTCCTAAACACAAAACTAAACTTTGCAACAGAGGTGAAGTACCCAGGTCTCACCTTTGACAGCAAGTTAACATGGAATTCGCATTTAGAAAACAGAGTTAAAAGAGCATACATTACTTATGAACAATGCCGCAGAACCGTGGGGAGCACCTGGGGTTTCTCCCCCAGAGTCGTCGCATGGACTTACACGGCTATCATAAGACCTATGCTAACATACGGTGCAGTTGTCTGGGTACCGAAAACCCAAAAATTAACAGCTATCCGTAAACTAGAACAAATTCAAAGAACAGCATGTCTCAACATAACAGGAGCCATGAAAACAACACCGACCAGAGCGATGGAAGTCATTCTTAGTCTCACTCCCCTTGATATTTACATATAAGAGGTTGCTTTGACGAAAATGACACGACTCCGCACGGTTGGAATAGAACCGACGGTTCTAAAACAAAACAAGACTCAGGATGTGGAATATACTCCAGATTCTTAAACCTAAACATAAAATAGGCTGTGAGCCAGTGCCAGTGTAGTTCAAACAGAGCAAACGGGGATTCTCATAGCAGCAAAAGAAATAACCAGAAAGAATATCGCTGGAACGAACATGCTCATCTATACAAATAGCAGACAATCACTACTCACCCTGAACAGACCACGAATTTATTCAGGGTTAGTACTAGAATGTCACGAAGCTTTGGCCGAAGTACCCATCAACAATGTGGTCATCTTAAGATAGATCAAAGGTCACGCCACATCGAAAGGTAACCTTCTTGCTGATTCACTAGCCAAGAAAGCAGCCAACCAAATACTTTTGGACCTGGCCCTTCTATTGGCCTGACAAAATCGGTGACAGACCTAATTAAAGAACATTCACTCGTGAAATTCAAGGAAAGATATGATGAAACAAGAAACTGCAGAGTTGCCAGGGAGCTCTTAAGTGATCCTGACAACACTGCAGCAAACAAATACTTGACTATGACTAGACAGAATCTGCGCCTAGTCACAGGCACTCTGACGTAATTGCCAAGTACGAAAGCATCTCCATATCATGGGGCTGTCAGAATCCGCACTCTGCAGAAAGTGCGAACAAGAAGATGAGACCATCGAGCATATCCTTTACGATTGCTCGACGCTCTCATTTATTAGAAGATTTGTGTTCGGCGAGTATCGGCTAAGACCGGCCGATATAAGAGAAGCACCTCTTGGCAATGTTGTCAACTATATTAAGGTCCGTATTTATAAACAAAACTCAGCTGAGTCGTACTTAGGTAAGTCGTCCTTGAACGATAATCGAAGTTCGGTTATATCGCGTCAATTTAGAGATGGGTAGTAACAAATCCGTAAATGTACATAACAGTTTCAGATTTGCTAATATCCATCTCTAAATTTCAGTCTAACACCAGAATCACCTGGAACTTTAGAGACGTTGTAACCGAACTTCGATTTTAGTTCAAGGACGACTTATCCAAGTCCGACTCAGCTGAGTTTTGTTTATAAATACGGACCTAAATCTGTAGGCTGGCTCACGAGCTAGGAGGTGCCTATCATCTTAGGAGAATGCACAATGGGCATAATGAGGCCTAAAAGCCGTGGGGTAACCCACCCTCCACACGTTACAGACACAGATAACAATGGAATTTGTTTTAATATCTAATATCATTGCATCGTGTCCTTTTCTTGAAAGTCCTCATCTAAATCCATAGCTTTTTTCCAACACAAGGTGTAATGGAGGAAGATCTAGCAATGAGCGTGTTTCTAAAAGCCCCTGTTATTATTAGTCAGACCAGTCTTTGGACGATCCTTTATCAACGAGTACTAAATTCTTACTATAAAGAAAATGCATCATAGTTAGATTAAACCCCCATGTGTTTCCTACCATTTGTCTACAAACAAATAGTGCTTTTATATTTCTGTCGTTTTTTATAATGCTGCAGAAGCTAAGTAAGCTTGCCATCAAGGGTGATTCCAAGACATTTAACTTACTTTGCCATTTTAGAAGTTGTCCCCACATATAAAGTTCCCATTTTCTGAAGGTTACTTTTTCTTGTAAAGACAATAATCAAAGTTTTAACCGGGTGTGTGAACAATCCCTCTCTTAGACACCATATTCCGACGATATTTAGAGCCTGCTGAATTTTTCGGAAACAACGGTACCAAATTTACCATTTTTTTTACTTATTGACTCTCTTGAATACGGTCCTGCCATAAAATATGTTATATTAATCAGGATACACATACTAAAGGTATGCTGACTTTCGATTCAAAATTCGTCCAAACCGCGCATGACGTAATGCGGGACGAACTTGTAAGTTATTTTGACACTTTTCGATTGAGTAGTGTAAAATAATTTAATAATTTAAATGTTTTTGAGTTAGTAGTGACTATATTTTCCTATATATAACAGGAAAGAACTAAATTAATGTTTAAAATGATGGGCTGCGCAGTGGAGATATTTTCGAATGCCAAAAAATATGGGTAAATTCTTATCGAAGAAAGGACAAACTTAATTGAAATTGCCCTATCCACTTTAAGGAAAGTAGTTGTCAGATTACTCTTAAACAGACGCAAGAAAAGAAAACTGAATTTCACCAGGTTCACGGGCCTCATTAAGCAAAGAAAATAAATCGGTATTTTAAAATTTTAGCAGAAAAAACAGTAGTTTCCTGTCCCAATACAACGGTTCTTTTGAAGTAATGCCATGCATGAGCAGGACACAAACATATATAAGAATAAGATAAATTAATAGGAAAATTTGTTTTGAGTATTTTCAAAGTAAACTTGACAAAAAATGTTTAGATTTACCAAATAAAAAGTAATGTTTTTCTGTACTTACTTTTTGTAAATAAATAATTTTCGCACACTTATTTTTATTTCACATAATAAGAAAAGAGATTGCAAGAGAACTACTACGCCCAGAAAGTACAAATTTGAATCAAACTTGTATTTTTAATCTATATCTTTTACTTATCTTATGGCCAGGTTATGGATTTTGTCACAAAATGCCTATAATTTATGAGAAAAATTAATATTTTTATAAGTATTAGTTACCTTAAACCTTCATATTTGTAAACAAATATATTACAAAATAACCAATAAAGCTTAAGTAACTGCATAAAACCTAAAATTGGCAAAATATCGAATTTTAAAGAATATGTCCCATTTAATGCTTATAATTCTATGTCCCACGTGACGTCACCGTCAGTCAGCTGCATGCGCAGGAACATACCGTTAGTCTGTGTATCGTGATATTAATGACAATTCTACATTGTTATAAGAACAGTGTCAAGATGATAAAAAAGTCAATGGTTCAATAAATTCATAGAAGTGAATACACAAAGCAAAAAAAGGAACAAAACGAAACTCAAGTACATACTCGTATTGAAACAGGAAACGTTGTAATGCAAATCTAAATATATCACCATAAGGATAACTCGTTAAATGTTAAATTTCTTAACTTTTAAAAAAGCGTTTCAATAAAAAAACGAAAATGGTATTTTAAATTTGTTAGTACCCACAGATTAATCCCTAGAATATGCAATTTTTTCTCATATACCAATTTTACTGGTTTAAGAAATCCACAGGAATTCTACAAAGATAGAAATATCAAATCCTGTACGAATTGAAAATGGCAGGTTTTTGTTAGTTTAAGTCACATTGAAATGTTCGCTAGTAGATTTAATATTTTAAGAATAATATTGGTGTGACATTTAAAAAATTTAACTATTTAAAATAAGTGATAAAGTGCGTGCTTTTAAAAATAAACAATTATTTTAAAATGAGCAAATTTTTCATTATATTTCACAAAAATTTTAAATACATAGATCATTCTTAAAACATTAGTAACAATACTAATCGATGAATAATCCTTATTTTATTAGAAAAGAAAATATTTAAATTTGCTCAAATTTTATTAATTGCAAAGTAAAATTTCTTACCTGAACTCAATAAATTTGATCCCTCTGTGGAAGTTTGTGTGACATGTTCGACTTTCTCAAAAATTGCCGAATCTTGCACACACAAAAATAAACCTCCCAAAAGCATATGGGTATTTTGGGGATCCGATTCTATTTGCAAAGCATTCATTAACAAATTCATCAATTTTGGCTTTAGCTGCAAGAATGTCACTGGTTTTTCGTTAGAACCTAAAGAAAATAATTTTAGAGAACAAATTGTTTTGAGTGTTTCATTCTCACCTGTATTAATCAGTTCCTTTATAATAACATTTTGAAAATGGAGTGGCAAAACTAACATTGATAACAGCAACTGTATACAGGATTTTCTTAATTCGACTTTGTTTACATTGCTGTTTTTCAATTTTAAGTCTTTATCCGGTAGGACTACTTCTAATGCCGAAATAAAAGCAGGCATTAGCAGTCTTACCCCATCTAAGTCTAAATGAAAGAGATTAGCGGAATTTATCAAAATGGCCGCCATGCATTCACCACATTCACGGTTTGGTGGAACTTTTAGACCTTGGAGAATTGCCAAATAGAATCTAGAAAGTAAATTTTTAAACCGTTAATTTATTATTTACATTTGTAATATTTGTATATTAATGAAAGAGATTAGCGGAATTTATCAAAAAAGTCGCCATGAATTCACCACATTCACGAATTGGTGGAACTTGGCGTCTGGCCCGAACTCGCACATCAAATTTCTGTCTAGGAATCTCGGCACTCAATGTCGTCATGGTCTAGCGGTAAACGCATTTGTCCAGAGAACAAAAATTTCTGGGTTGTTTTCACTATTGGGGTTCGGGGATGATCTTAATAATTCGTAGTGAGATTTTTTCCGAATTTTCAAATTATTCAACAACTTATTTCAGATATTTCTGACCGTTCGTATTTCGATTTGCGATATATTAAATTCACAATTTCCATACTCAGGTTTACGTCGCTTAACGTACATTGAAAACTTAACTCACGCAGACGAAGATATGGACTTAGTATGCATCAATGCATTTCTCATATAGACCGATGCTGTAGAGAGGTATTTGAAGTTTTGAGAACGAACTTGAAACGAATTCGAATACTTATTTCAATTATTTCTGACTTTTCGGATTTCGATTTGCGATCTACGATGTATTAAATTTACAATTTTTAAATGCCAAGTAGTCTAGGAATTTTTAAAATCTTTAATTTATTTGCATTTGTGCTTTTTTTACTTTAAAAAGAGATTAACGGAAGTTATCAAATTGTATTCACCAAATTCACGAATTGGTGAAATTTTTAGACCTTGGAGAATTGCCAAGTAGAATCTAAAAAGTTTTTAAATCTTTAATTTATTATTTGCATTTGTACTTTTTTTACATTAATGAAAAAGATCAAAATGGCCACCATATGTCTATCATAATGTCACGAGCCGCCCATTTTTTTTACCAAATCACAGATTTTTTCAGTTAGTTTTAGTTCGGGGTGATATGGTGGCAATTTGAATGCCGAATAGTTGTATAATGTCATTATTTCATCTAATAGGTTTGTGTTCTTTAATGATTTCATATAATTGTGCCTTTGTCATAGAAGCCTAATAGTCTATTCGTTCCATGCGTGACTGCAGCGCCAATTCATTTATGTACTAATGGACTATTTTGGTGTATACTGACAATACAATTTTTAATAGAATTTGTAATTAACAAGTATATATTAACAGGTTTTAATAAAAGTATATGTATTTGTAAAACAAGTAAAACATTAATTTATTATTATTATATATTTTTATCGCTTAAACTAAAAAAAAATAAGTATAATCAATAAAAATCAATAATAAAATATAGACTGGCAACAGTATTTACGGGAAAATGTATGAGAAGTTGCCTAAGCCTAACAAGTTGTCTTTAAAGAATTAACCTATACTGTCAAAAGTCTCAAAATTGCATTCCAGCCACATGCAATAATCAAAGGCAGACACCTAGTTCTTGCTGAACATTTAAGATTAAAGGGATGTTGAAGAATATTGTAAAATGATAATTTAGTGTTTATTTAAAACCTTTCAAGTTTCTGAAGTCTAGTGCTATTTCCAGTATTACTGTTATTATTACAAAAATAAAGGTAATTTTTATTCTTATTGTACAGCTATCCATTTATTTCTATGATTTAATTTCCACTTTACTACTGAAAATGTTTATAATTTAAACTATTTTTTTACAATTTACAACACAGCAACTCCGGTTGCTTATTGATTGTATTGTTTTTACCTATTTTTTTTTTTAAAGTAAAATGTATACGTGTAGTTGATATGCCAAAATTACAAAATATCGCCCTAAAATGCACGAATTATCCGCAGCAAGCGCTAGTATCACTTTTGCTTCCCCCTACCATGACTTTGCACTGAGCGAATATTATTGTATGTTATCCAGTTTAGCATGTGGGCCTTCCTAGACGAAGTAAGCTGCATTATCTATCATTAGGACACTATTGGGAATAAGTAATACAGTTTTAGCAAACATCCGTTAACCACCCACTAACGTTACGTTAGCAATATACTGTAATCTACCTCCTTCACAATTATGAAGACTAGAGATAAGGAGGCGAATTGGCCTTGGTAAAATTTCAAATTTCCGTCCCTATTTTTATGGAGTTCCAAAAAACTACTGTACTTGGCGGGTGGCAAAATAACGACGTCTATACCTAATTTTCATTTTATTTAGATAAAATTAAATAATGAATAGTAAATAATGCTTAACATAAAGACTCATTTATAATTAATACCAACAGTATTTTCTGTACTTTAGTTAGCAATTAAAACAAAGACTTACTTACAATAATTAAAATCAACAGTTTTGTTTTGTGCTTTAGTTAGCAATAAACAATTTGATTTTTATTATTTTCATAAAATTTTCTACAATCCCTAACTAAATATTTTCATTTAAACCGTGTCTTAGTAAGCTCTCAGCCCTATTTAGCTTTAATTAAAAAATAATTAGTCCTACCCGTCAAATTTCAACACTTATTTTTGGGACCGTATTTTGAGCATGCCGATTGGCCTTCTTATCTCTAGTCTTCATAGTCACAATCTAAGTTTAACATAACGTTAGCGGAGATCTTACGTACATTTGCTAAAACTCACTATTGCTTGTACCCGTTTTATAAAATGTTCGGTGTTCATGTCATCGTGAAGATCCCAAGATTTAAAAAACAAAAGTCCGTTATCCATAAACCCCTGCTCTCCCCTGCATAAACTGTAATGAGTCTTCTTCCTTTACTATAAGATTTTTTAAAGTTTAAATGAGGATTTACTTTGTCTAGGTAATAGGACGAGTATGTAAATATGTTTCATCCGTGTAAGTAACGCTTCTGTCCTCTTCACGATATATTTTTCATTTATTGTATTTCAATTAATCTAATAGCATAACTCTCTATCAATATCGTTGTGTTATCCGCGGTATTTTTCCAACTAAAACCAATTCTTTTACTACTTTTTTGAATGTTGTGAGGCCCTCTTCAAACCCTAATTAAACAACTTGTGTTTTTCTAAAAACTGCATGCATATTGCATACTAGGTCGTTGTTTATTAATTACACAAAAATCATTTCTACCCAACTTATTCTACGATACGACACTGGCAGACAAACATCACTGCAAAATTCTCGTTAGATGGGGTTCGACGATTACCACCTCCGCCACTACCAAAGCACTATTCAGCATCTGTCTACACTCTACTTTCGTTACAAATTTAAGTGTTCTAATGATATAATATAACTTACCGCGCCAGATACACTGGTAAAATTTCTTCACCTGTTTTTTTAGCACACATTATTCGGCATAAAGTGCCTAAAGCTTCTGCTTTTCCACTCTCATACTTATCAATAGTTAAATTTGATGGTACTTCACTGCTATCTGTCATAGAACCAGGTTGAGAAAAGTTTAATGGCGATTTACCATCCATTACTATTGAATTAGGTCTTTTGGAATCTCCAGTGTTTCCTGTAAAAATAATAATTATAAAGGTCCACCAAATTATTGTATAGAACTTGCTTTGTGGTAGTTCGGAGCCTACAAAAGCTGCTTCAAATAACCATTCTCCATAAAGGTGTAAAATTGTATTACATTTTGTTCTGCCAGGTGCCAAGGGGGTTCTAGGTTCTGAACCAAATGATAATAGAGCTAAAAAATATTTTCAATATTTTTAATTAGATATGTACACTGGAGGACAAAAAATTGAAGTTACATTAAAATTAATATATTTTTTGCAAATATTTTAAAGAGCAATAATAATAATTTGTTTTCCGAGTACCGTTCGATAAAAATAGCAAAAGCCACTGCATGTGTCAACTCGAGACACAACTGAGAGAATGATTCATGCCATGTTGCCAAATTTATTATGGATATACTAACAATATTAAAGAGGAAATATTAGACATAATTAATCAAATCCTTAATTGGTAAATTCTAGTATTAAATCACTAATAATATAAATTATAAATCAACAATTATATTAAGTAATTACAGAAAGGTAAGTTTCTTTAATATTGGGAACTGAAACAAGTGGTTTTAAATTATTGTATTTTCCCTAACTATCAATGGAGCTACTCATTTTGTATTTTATAAAATTAGATGAGATTTATTTTCATCTACTTCCTCTTGTGTAAATGTCAAACAGAATGTATTATTTCACGAGCGATATTTTACAACACTTATATCTGACGCCGTCTCAATTTGCTCAACCTCGACTATAAAGTATTAATATCCAATTTAGTGTTTTTTATCACTGTAAAATCTTCAAGTCATAAGGGGTAGTAGTTGTGTAGTTTTTAACAGGCCATAATGCATAAATCATATTGTGTCAAGAATTATAGCATTGTTACAAACTGGTCGGGGACAACGTGAACTATCAAGAATTGTTGGTGTGAGCTTTTGTGGCTATTGGCTTAATAACCAGAAGACCAGGATCCAGAAAAAAAAGGATAACCACGCAAATTATCGTTTATCGTGTCCACAAATTGGCGAAATAGAACACCTGCAGTTTGGCTGCAAAAACAACTCGAAAAATTAAAAAAATGTGGGTGTTAGAGAATATACTGTTAAAAACATTATTTTCGCACTGTTTTCGATCAGCTGATACCTCAAGTTCTCACCACAATACGTCACCGTGACGTAGTATCAATCGGTGTAATATACCCCTTTTTTATATGTTATTATGATTATTTTGAAGAATAATGGATACATGGCATTGCATTACAAAATTGGCTTTGGCTCAAAATCATGCAGCATGGAACAATGAGGACTAGAGAAGGGTACTTAGATGATTCGCGTTTTTGCCTCACTGGATCGCTGGACGCCGGCAAGTATGGAGAAAGACTATCCAGTTTGTATTGACGAGCGACTTTCATTTTAAGGTAGGTCGGTTATGGTTTGGGCTGAAATCTCTTCACATGAATGTACAAAGTGGGTATCTAAAGGAAATGGCTCCCTTATAGTTCACAGGTACATTAAGAGGTTCTAGAAAATCTTATTGGGTCCTATGATTGAACGTTTACGTTAAGTTTAACACGAATCTGTTATGTTATGCTAACAGGGAACAGATAACGTATGAAATAACAGTAGGTGTCATATCCGTATGATTGAAGTAGTCGATAACAGAAGATGTTGAGCTGGCTGTTATGAATGGAAGAAAGTATTTATTTGCGCTATTGCGCGTGCGCACAAAATGTACCTAACTTCACTTCATTTCTAAAAATGACTAAAATGAGGTTTTTCATGTTTTTCTGAATGAAAAAAAAAAACAACAATTAGGTTAGAATTTTTTGTAGTTCATTTTTCAGTTTTATTTAATTTTTTATGGCGAAAAGATTAGCTAAAACGACTGTGTAATAGTATGAGGAACTACATAATTTTGTTAGAAAAAACAAAATTATTCTCACGGGTAAAACAAATATATTAGATCAAAAAAAATCAAACCTTTGGCTAGTATTTACAAATCATATAATTTAAAAACAAATTCAAATATACTAAGAATTCAGATAATTAGCAATATAGGTATTAGATAATTAAATAATAAACAAATAAAGTGGTAACATAGACGTTGGACACTTAACGGCATGTTATTCGAGGCTGTTGAGGCGATGCGTTAAATTAGAACATAACAGGTGGAAAATAACAGTAACGTGTTATGAAAAACTTTACATCATACGAATTTGGCACGTTGCTGTTAAAACTCGGCCTAACATGTATGTTATGGATAACGTAAACGTTCAATCATAGGACCCATTGTCTGTTATGATCACTTTGCTAGATCTCACGGAGTATCTGGATGAGGTGGGAAATAGCGGTTCGATTGGCCACCTCTGTCCAGATAATAAAATCGAGCATGTATGGGATAAGTAGGGACGACGTTTCTGGAGGTATACAGCAGTCCCAAGAACTGTAAAGGAGCTAAGTTGCTATTGCAGGAGTGGGATAACATTTATCCAAACAGTATGGCTTATTATCGGGTCGGTGGTGTAGCGGTCTAACGCGCTTATATTCATTTATAAGCAAGTTTATGTGTCAGAGACTGCTGGGCTTCGAATCCCAGACCAGACCATGTAGATTTTTAATTAAATTGCATGGTTCGCTATAGGATTTGATGTGTGCCGTATTAATAGAAATTCAATTTCTGTTGATATGACATGCAGATTATAAAAAATCGCAATACAATACCGTCTCGATGATGGTGGGTGAGGTTTTCCGGGTTTTCCTCATCTGTAAGTCAAATGGCACCATCAATCATCTTTAAGTCGCCCCGGAGCGCCACGGCAAATAATAATAATAATAATAGCCGTCCCTTTCCCCGCACAAGCTCAGCTTTTGGGGTTAAAATTCACTCGTAAGGGGGTCAATTAGGGAGAGTATTATTATTATTATATTGACTTCAAGCAGTCATCAATGCAAGAGGGTGGACTATACATGTTAGTAGTGATACGTTTTTCCTTTTTTTTGTTCTATTTTTGTGTTAATGTTAATAAATCGAACTTGGTTTTGTTGTTGTTTTTCCAAATTAAATCATATAAAACAAAAAATATGCTTTTCAAATTCAATATTCAGCATAATAATTAGCATTTATTAATATAAGCTTAACACACGAATTTCCAAAAAATATAATTTTATAGTGATCTCAATTTTTATAACAACTCAAGATGTATTAACAACTAAGTTGGAATCCTAAGGACAATTATTAGACTATTAGTTTTAATATATTCCTAAGGATCTCAATTTCAGCTAATGAAACATATTGGATATGCTACCAAATGAGTTTGGTAAGTTGAGAAATTGTTGTTTTTATTAAGTAAACTTACAAGAAATGCTAGAAGCCGAAGATGGACCTGAATTTGCAGGAGGCGGTGGTACAGCTGAAGTACGACTTGTCGTAAGGCCTATTAAAGAGCCTTTTGGAACACCTAGACAAAATAAAAAAATCATGAAATGCCTAGAGGTACACAAACAAATATAAATAAATTGCCTACAGTGAAATGTTCTACAAAATATATGAAAAAGTGTTTTAAAGCAATTACAATACATGGCAATATGACACAAAAAATAACTAATTAAGAAAACAGTTATCTACGAACAAATTTTATTTCAATGTTGAGAAAATAAAATTACAAGGTATGAAGAAAATAAAGTACTAGAACAGTGATAATTATGTCAATCAAAATAGTTTCAAGTTTTCTTTGTTATACAACAAGCGTCGTATTGCTTGGTTGACAGAAGAGTTATCCAATTATTAAGGTAACTGGCTAAAAAAAAAAAAAAAAATACAAATACCTTATTTATTTTATATCGATCAAAGGTATAAGTAAACTTGTGTTCATTAGACAACAAACATAAGTGTAAATTTTCTATTTAAATTTCGGAATTTTAAAACTGTCAAAAACTGTGCAATTGAATGATTTTAACTGTCACTTTTCTAAACAAATATAAAACAAAATTACAGAAAAATTATAAAAAACAAAAAATTTAAGCCATGCATTATATTGATAGGTGTATAAGTAATAACTAATTTATTGAAAAACTAAAAAGAGAGAAATTTATATAAAGTTTTATAAAAGTTAAAACAATTAAAAAAATATTTCACTTTTTCCAAAGATTTTAAAAGAGAAAACTTTAAAAGATACTATTTTTTTCAAGACAAAAAAATGTATTTATAGAATTATAGAAAAGAAAGAAAGACCATATCTCTACCCTTATTGACAGAAGATGGTGTGACACTAAAACTTTTAGCTAATCGACGTTGGGTGGGGGGTGTAGGTGAATGAGTGATTGGTTGTGCTTCTTTATTCTTGTCGATGCCAGCACCTGTCACCACATTGTCCCACCAGATAGGCTGTGCAATACCTGCACCAAATATAGCAAATACAGATACAAACAGAAATTACAGTACAAAATGGTGTATGGATTGGAGAGACAGACCGTTTTAGTTCTTTATGCAATGCAAAACAAATACAGTTGAGGTAAGTCCAAAACTTTAATTGGAAATTGTAGATAGTAATGACAATGTCATTTGTCATTGCATCAAAGTTCCTTGAGATTATCGGATGTTAAGGAACAAAGAGCAGAAAAATGAGCCCTATTTCCAAATGTAAAATAGTTTATGGATAATTTAGATTTCATTATCAAATTTTTATATACAGGGTATTTCTAAATTCATGCGACAAAATTTAGGAGGTGATTGCTTGTATGAAATTAAGATGGGTCTTTCCTATAATAAAATTTTTTCAGCCCACCCCTTTCCGAGATATCAAACTTAAAAGGTAAATCTAGAAACATGAAATTTTGTACTTTTCGTGCACTCGCAAAGGACTAACCACGGGTATTTTTTCAATATTCCTGTTACATTATAGGGGGGTGAAATTAGCAACCCTTGCTTTATTTCATATCAAAACTTTTTTCGAGATGAAGTTTTATGAAATAAAATTAATTTCACCTCCCTATAATGTAACAGGAATATTGAAAAAATACCAGTGATTAGTCCTTTGCGAGTGCACACGAAAATTACAGAATTTCAAGTTTGTAGCTATACTGAAATTTTAGAAAAAAATAACTTAATTTTAGTCACCACCTTTTAAGGGTGATATCTCGGAAAGGGGTGGGCTGAGGAAATTTTGTTATAGGAAAGACCCATCTTAATTTCATACAAGCAATCACCTCCTGAATTTTGTCGCATGAATTTAGAAACATCCTGTATGTATTAAAGTATTGTAATTTACTTTTGAGATCAAAATTGTCATAGTCATAATTGAATATTGGGTTGACAGTCATAATTATTCATATGATGAAAGGAAGTTTTCTTTCAGATATTGGATATGACAACTTTGAAATGTCATTACTTTCACTTTGTATAATTTCAAAATTAGACTATTAAAATATTGATTGAATTAGATTATTCCTAGACAATTATATTAAACTTTGTTTAACACCTGTTTAATAGATTATGTTTGCTGTACTTTTAAGGTTGTGTGTGTGTGTGTGTGAGAGAGAGAGAGAGAGAGAGAGAGGAGAGAGAGGAGAGGAGAGAGAGAGAGGAGAGGAGAGAGAGAGAGAGAGAGAGAGAGAGAGAGAGGAGAGAGAGAGAGAGAGAGAGAGAGAGAGAGAGGAGAGAGAGAGAGAGAGAGAGAGAGAGAGAGAGAGAGGAGAGAGAGAGAGAGAGAGAGGAGAGAGAGAGAGAGAGAGAGGGGCATTAGACTAAGTCTGTTTGCTACAAAATGATACTTTTAAGGTAAGAAACAAATTCTTTTTAAACATTTTCACAATCAATAAAAAAATTCGAATTAAAACTAAAACGGTCTATTTCTCTGAAATGTTTTTTGAATTAAATATTCAGACAAATTAAATGTTGTTTAAATATAATACAAGTAAAATTATGAAATATACATTTATTACTTCATAAACTCATCGTTTTTTTGAGATAAATTCTAAGATAAGTTATTTTTAAATTAGCACGTTTTGTCATCATTGCTGAATTTACGGCAGTTTTCTATCCAAGGAGGTGGTAAGATAGAGATGACATAAGTAACAATACTTTGGCCATACTGGTATACAATTTGTACATTTGTATGCATATGTTACATTACCTCAGTATGGCACATAGTATCTGAATCTAAAAAAATAGGGTGACACGCTCCAAGGTATAAACGGAGGAAGATGGAGAAACAGCAAATGTCATCAATATAAAAATATGTATTAAGCCAGAATACAGACCAAGAAAAGTAACGACGAGACTATCACTGAAATTTTAGGGAAGAAAGAGGCAGAAACCACAAAAAATCATTTAACAGAACAGATGGGACGAAAACACAACTGGTTAAAGGACTAAACCCCTAATTCCCAATATAAAAAGCTGGATATCATGCAAACACCACAAGACAAACCACTTTCTGACACAATTTCTAAGTCCTCTTTTGAAGAACACAAACTGAGCCCAGAAGATACCGCAATCTATTTCCCCAAAATCCCCAAGATCACTAAAAGCAAATTTAAATGAAACTACATTTGTTTTTTTTGTTGTTGAAGCTCAACGCAATTAAGAGTCACACCAGTCTTTAATTGTTTTGAGATCACATGAAATATCGTTTTTAAGCAAGGATATCATCGGGAGATATTGTTAAGTTTCCAGATATTTTAACTTTTGTTAAATCGTTAATACCTAGCAAGAAAAGAACGGGCCCTAAAACAGATCCTTGTGGAACTCCATGTTTTAATTTTGAGCTTTTCCAAATTCTACTTACCATCTTTACAACTTGTGTTCGATTTGTTAAGTACCTCTCTCATAATCATTTGATAACTCTGTGAATGCTTCCAATTCGATTTTTGTAAACAAAATTAGTCTAGTAGTTGTTCATTATTGGAAAATATACACATGCAATCGAGAAAGCAGAGGATGATAAGTGCATCTACTGCAGAGTAGAAGATACACCGGAACACACCATTTTCGAGAACATTCGGTGGAACACAATGAAAAATGAGAACAGGTATATTAACACCCTCACCATAATAAACCAAATGCTGATAAGCCAAAATAACTGGGGCACAATAGCACAAGGACAAAATAGGGCGTAAAGAACAAGATGTTTTCTTAATTGGCTCTGCCTCTCTCACATTTTAGGATCCGACCCATTTTAGCAGGGCACACATTTACTGAGACAAGTTAGCGCCCGATATTAATTAAGTGAGACCAATTAAAGCTTAGTATAATTATAGTGAGTTAAGTTAGCGCTTTTCAAAAAAGTGTATATATTAACGCATAACAAAATATGCCAGTATTCCAATTTAAAAAAAACTTAAACTAATTTACCTAACCTGTGCGGCCTGGAGCCATGGCGAGTTACTATATATGGCTCCAGGCCGAACAGGTTAGGTAAATTATTTACGATTTTTTAAAATTTTTCCAATTGTTTGTCAATTTTTTTTTAAAGCAACCTGCGAAGGCTTCAGACTTCTCAGGTTAGGTAAATTAGTTTAAAGTTTTTTTTTTAATTGTAACTGGAATATTTTGATACACGCTTTTATGCCCTGCGCTATTTTGTCCTTACACTATTTTATCTTGCGCTATTTTGTCCTTGCGCTATTTTGTCCTGCGCTGTTTTGTCATGGAGCCTCTACCTACATTAGCAAGGTTATGAAGTAATAAGAAAGAGGAGGAAACTACCAGACAAGAAAGCAAGAGTGGCCCGAATAATCCGATACAAAAACCTCTGATTTTAGTCCCAGAGTATTTATTAAGGGTCCTGGAATAGTAACCTATATGACATCTTCATCCCTTTCCACTTCTCAAATTCTATCTATCTGAATTAAGGTGTGGTTCAGTCCACTTTTACTAAAGCTTTGAGCTTATTATAACCCTCTCAGTTTCTATCCCATCAGGTTAATGCTCTTTTTAATTCAGGAATATGCATGATTGGCAGTTCACGAGTCATCGTTCCGTATATTGTACCCATTCTCGTTTCTATTTGAGGTTTCCGACAGTCATATAGGATGGGAATGTGAGTCTGGTCCTCCTATTCACATTTTCTACATTATAAATCGTCACCTGTGTAAGATTGTTTTGGGTTACATTTTTTATATCCTTTTTTATGATTAAGAATACCTTGTTGAGGAAGAATTCGGTATAGTACGGCCAAGTCGCTTATTAGCAACACCTGTAGTAAAAGAGATAATGTCTGAAAAAATTTAGATGTATCCATTAAAAACAACAGCAATGACAAATTTTTGCATTCATATTCACTTGAAAATATAAATTAACCTTTCCCAGAATTTATTCTATTAAACCAATTGTTTATTGAAATTATTTTATTCAAATTATAAAATGTATAGAAAGTAAAAAAATGGAATAAAAACAATAGTCTTTGAAAGAAAATGTTGATGATTAAATTTATTGCAATGGGCCCGTTCACTTTTATTTTTGAATGTGAATTATTTATATATTTATAAAGATATTAAACTCTTTTGTCTGGTGGTACTTTTCCCGTTAAGATATTTTTGCTAGAAGTAAGGGAATTCCCATAAAGTTCTTTCAGTGACTCATTGCGTCAGAAAACCTCTAATTCCCTTCAGGTCTCGTATCGATTAATAGTTAAAAGGGCGCGGTTGTCGGATGTATCATTGCACCACCATTCCTCTTCTGCATTTATTAAAGAAATTTACATGATAAAAATATATTATTTTTTAAAAATAATGTGTTTATATTTTCAGATAAAGCTGGAAGCCCTACCTTTTTTAAATTTTAATAAAAACAATTAGTATTATTCAAGCTGAATATTACCAGATCGAAATTTTATTTGAGAAAATGTATCTGGTAAACGTGACAACGTTGTAAGTACTTCTAAATAGTGTTGTCTACACACACTTCTAGAAATAAATGCAACGTTGCCACGTTTACCAGATAAATATTGCAAATCAAATTTCTACTTTTTGATTATGGTCTGGTTAATTTTCAGCCTGAGTAATAATAATTGTTTTAATTAAAAAGTAAAAAATAAGCTCCCAGCTTTAAATCTGAAAATATAAGTTCATGATGTTTAGAAAAATAAAGAATTTTACTATTTAAATTACATATATAAATGCAGAAATGCTATATTAGGGATACTTCCGACAACCCCGCCGTCTTTAAGCATAACCGATACGAGACGTGAACGGAATTAGGGATTTTCTGACGCAATGAGTCACTGAAAGAATTTTATGGGAATTCCCTTACTTCTAGCAAAAATATCTTAACGGGAAAAGTACCACCAGACAAAAGAGTTTAATATCTTTATAAATATGTAATTAATTCACATTCAAAAATGAAAGTGAACGGGCCCATTATTACAAACTCTATATACAAGGTGACAATTTAAAAAAAATTAATTATTGTTATATCTCTTGAACTAAAGATGACATTATAAAAGAAAATCCTAATAAAAACAATTTTTTTTTCTACTCTAGAACCAGAAATATTTTAAAATGTTTAATTGACAAGTAGCGGGTAGCTAATTTATTGTTGTTGTTGTTAGGAAGGTTGTGCATAGGGATTGATAGGGACCAGTCCGATATTTTTTCATTTAAGTTCCCCCGTAGATCAGATAAGACCATGACAGGTCCTAAACCCTTCTGTGGAGTTTCTAAGGCATCCATCAAACAATGGATGAAAATAGTCTCAGGAGTGGTGAAACAACTATCCATGATTGAGATAGGCCAGATCTCATTAAGGAACCGTATCAAAAACGATACATCATTAGGTCGCCTAAGAAGGAAAATTAGTGTCATCAATCCAACAGAAGAAGCAACATTGTGCAGGTTCTGTGGCCTGTGTGAAGGCCTGATTAGATTGAGGTTTCTAACATTAGGTAAAAAAAGGCAGTAGCATGTAATTACATTAGGGAACCACTGTCAAAGCTACAAAGTCTAATAAAAAAGACCAAGCTAGTCGACATACTCTAAATAACGGAGTCCCACAATAGATCTGAAAAGGTCGCAACTTCTTTCAAATCTAATCTACTTCGTATCTTAGAAATGGTTGTATTTTTTGATATCATCTTTAGTTTATGAGACATAGCCATTGTAAGTTTTTAAATTGTCACCCATATTTAAAAGTAATTTCAAAGCTGTACTCATGAAAAAACAAAATCGAGGTACTAATGTTGTTACTTAAACGCTGCGTTCTGTAATATGAAAATATATTCAAAACAGTCCCATAAAAAATTATATTCCGTATTTGTTAAAAAAAAAAACGTTTGTTTTTATTATAAGCATTGAATTAAAAAAAAAAACAATTAGTCAAAAATGAATCACAGTTTAGTCAAACGATTAAACAATTGAAATGCTTAACAGATAAAAAATTATTAGTAAGTACATATACATACTGAACAACTTAATTTAAAGTTAATATTGGGTATACATACAAATCTTTTATTTTAATTTTTAAGGATATTTCGTAAGATTAATTTTTATTAAGATCATCAGTATTTTTTATGCAGAAACGGAAAAATAAAATATATTATTTTTTAATACAAACCCAAAAAAGCGTCTACTTGTCCAGCAATGCCTTTAATAGCTTTTAAAAAAATTAAAGGCAAGCTCTGCAAACAGGGATGTTGGCATGGATCTATTACTCCATCTGTACTTATAGCAAATTGAAGGAATTTTTCAGTTTGACTAATAACCTACAAATTAATAAGATTTTAAAATATTAAAATCAAATAAATTATCATTTAATTAACTACAAATAATTTACTTTTTTCATATATCTGTGGATTTATAGATATCTTTTAAGAACCTAACTTGATTATATATTCTTTAAGATATAATTAACTTGGTGGAATAAAAATTAAAACTTATGTCACGAGCGTATTGAATTATTATTAACCATATTTGAAAAATTGATGATCTTTCCTTATTATTAATACCCACACCTATATTAAAAAATACATTTTAACTTGGGCTTACCTTAGGCTTAGTAAGACTCACAGGATTGCCTATAGTGTTTAAAAATCTATACCAACTTTGAGCTATGCAGTCATTTGAGATACCTGATGGTATTAAGTCATCTTCACCTAAAAAGTGTTTAAATTCTATAAAAATATCAAAATGTAATCTCTAATTGAGGAATATTAATTTTAATCATTAATATTGCGTACAAAAACAAAACAAATGACACCAAAGAAATATAAATAAAAAAAAAAAAAAGAAAGCATGAAGAAATTTTTATTTTACCTATTTTTAATTCTGGAAAAGAAGTACCATACATAAATAATAATACTTTTGAAGTTAGACCTAGATTCACTCTGTTCCATTGTTCGATTAATGCCACTCGGTGTCGCCAGTTCATACATGATTCCCTCAGCGTTTTCCATAATGGCGGAGAAGGAAAACACTGAGCACACGCAATCAACCATATCTAAAAATATTTACAATATAAATGTTACTTCTTTGAAAACTTCTAAAATATACAAGCAATTTTTATACCTCAAATAATACACTAAGTACTCTCTCACACAGCTGATCAGCTACATCATCTTTAACAGTTGGCGGACTCAATAATGTATCATTTATTCCTAATAAAAACAGTAAAAGAGCCTCCCATGTGCTTCTTTCTAATATTTTTGATTCATGTGCAATTTGTTGTAATGTTCTTAATACCCTGTGACAAAAAACAGCTTGTCTGTGGATAGTATCGAATCCTAGAAAAATTCAAAAAGTATATTTGTAAGTTATATAGGAGGAATATTTACAAGAGTCACCCACGAAAAATAATTCCATATGGAGTTTTTGATCAAAGATTTAATTAAAATAAAAATGTAACTATGGAAAATATATATCTTTTTTAAAGAAATAGTTTTTCCTCTATTACTTATGATTTTAATTCTGCAATAGAAATGTAGTAGGTGACTCATAAAACACAGAAAGTTAACACAGGATTGGTTAGTAAATAATATTAGAAAGATTTCTAACCTACCTAAGTCCTGATAAAGAAATGGCCAGTCTTGAAAAAATGAAAAACAAGTTAATATAGTAAGATATTAGAAATATGAAAAAAGTAAAAAAACAAGCTATAAAACATAGTTATTTGGTTTGTTAAAAAAAGTGTTAAAGAATTGAAAAAAAAAATAAGAAGGTAATAAAAAGAAAAGCAAAAAATGTGAGAAAAATAAAAGCTATGTAGAAAGATGATCATATTGATCATACTCTAAAATTAATTTATTATTGCAAACAAAATTCGCTGTTGCTAGGTACATGCTAAAGTGTACACAAATTAAAAAATTATATACATGCGAAACGTCATATTGATGTGGTGGGAGGTGTTTGTATGAATGCATGTTGTTTGTTTTCATTTACGCCGTGACTAGCAGATAGCAGAAGTATTTTATAAACCTTAGAAGCAAATTTCACATACATGAACAAATAATAATAATAATAATAATAATGCGGGGACAACAGAAGATGAAGCACGAATTCTCGTAGGGTGGCGGCTTCGCCGCCACCAGAAAATTTCCATCCATATCTGGCTACGCCCACCGGCATGGACACAGCTCACCTACTCTGTCAAGACATTGCACGTGTATATAACTTTTTGAATTGCGTACAAGTTAGCATGTACCTAGACATTGTGAACAAAATTGTGTTTTAATTGTTTAGGTTGAGCACATTCAAATTTTTTGCTAGTACTTATTATTCTGGAAATAAAATAATTTAATATTGGAAATGTACAGTGCATTTTGTGCTAGTATATTTAAATTGCATGCTTAGTTAGTTTTTTATAAGAAAATTCTATAATTGTCATTCGGCTGCTATTTATCAGTAAAAATCATATAAAATTTTGGGCCCATAACACTTTAGTGTCACAAAAAGTAAGCCATTTAGAAAGAAAATAGAACCATTTTGAATGTGGTAGAGACTAATTCTTTACAAAAAAGTGCGGATTTTTTCAAAACATAACCATTTTTTTCTAACCTCAATTTTTTTATTTTTTGGAACATGAGTGAATTGTTCGCCGAGTTCAGGTACGAGTTTTGCAAAAATTTGTCAACACTCAAAAAAAACTAGTTTCTATAGTAAATTTTCGCAAAAAAAATAGAAAAACAGCATTTTTTGAGAAAAATATAATGAAAAATTGAAGTGATCTAAAACCATATATTTTGTTGTTTGTAAAAATGCAGTATGTTTACCTATAGAGAGACAACTTAAAAAATATATTTTTCGTCATGAAATGTACCACCCCAAACATTTTTCCCATATTCGCACAAGAAAACATCACTAACAAAAAAATTGTATATTTGTTATACTGAAATATCAAAATATTTAAAAAAAATTACGTAACCGAATGCACGAAAAAATGAATTGAATGTCGCCTGAAATGAAAGCATACCTAATTTTTCAAAAAAAATCGCTTCCCGGCCAACTGACACAGATCAAAGAATATACATTCTTGCTTCTCAGCTTAATATCATTACTTCTGCCAAACAAACCTAAGTTGTCTTATCTATTGATTGTTGCAGTAAACACAACATACAATTTAGGAATATTTATTGATTTAAAATACATATTTTTCTGCAATATGCTCATAAATAGTCTTTAATAAATAATCAATAAAACGCTTAAAACCTATGTATAATATAAAAACAAATAAAATTGCGATAAATGAAATCAAACTCTCGACAAACGCACAAAAGAGCATCCGCGAATCGAAATTACTACGCTTCTATCAAGTAATAGGTAGTTTTCAACATCCGCAATAAAAAATAGTTCCAACTTGGAAAGGCCATTTTTTTGAATTTTGGCTATAATCCGCAATTTTTTTTCCAAAAATCAAGAAATACCTATCTGTAGTTTTATTTAAAACATATGTCATATCTGTAATTTTGTGACACTAAAGTGATATGTCACCAAAATATAATTTAAGACATCTAAGTATTTACTTGAAAACCTTTTACTGTATAAATATGATCATCATGAAATTCAATTTGGTTAAAAAACTTACCTTCTCCTTTGCGTGGAATGAAAAGAAAATGTAAATGCCCTATTATTTTTCTGCAATAAATATTTGGGTCATCCAAAATTGGTTGAGGTACACACATTTTGGGATGTGGTAAGAGAGCAGTGAGCCATTCACAATAAACATTTACACAATCTTTTATTGCTTCATGTTCTGTTAAAGGCAGGGATAATCCAAAACAGATAACTTCCATGCACCATTGCACCTTAAATTATTCATATAAAAATATGTCATTAGAACTTTATTTATATAGTTATATTAGAATGTCAACTAACATCTTTATCAGAAATTAAAGGACTAGGTTCTGCAGGCTGAGTAATCCCCAAATTGCTAGCTAATTGATGAACTAGTCCTGTTGTAATTTCCTTACTGATAGGTAAACCGAATTTTTCTAAAACACTTTGATTTCCGTCGCCTTCTCTTTGCGTAGATAAACTTAGGGATGTCCATTCTGAGTACATTCCTTTACTTTCACTACTTTCCTAAAAGATTTGTATCATAAAAAACATGTAAAATTTATACTGTTATAATAGATAAAATTAGCTTACTTTTAAGTTCATACGATTAAACAACCCCAAATTCATATGCAAGCCTTTCTGGGTGATGAATGTAATCGGAATGATACAAAATGTAGTTAAAATCAAAATCTCATTTTTTAATACTTATAAAAAGATTTAAAATATGTAAATTTATCAAATGATAAATAAATAAAAACGTCACAGACCACAATACGTCACAAAACGTCAATGTCAAATATTGTGGTTTTCGGCCTCGGCAACTTGATTATATAGTTCTGCAAATTCTTCTTTTATGTAGAGTTGTAGAGGCCATTGTTCAATAATAATTTTTAACAAGTAGTTCAATTGATAAAAGTAATAATAAAAAGAAGAATTAGTGGAAGAAGAACTAGATAGAAGTGTTCTGTGCTAGATAGTAAGGTTATGTATCCTTTTTCTGTAGACTGTAGATTTTAAAATTAAACATGTTTAAATTAATACAAAAATGTGCGTTTCATAACAAATTAAGGGGCAATGTAAAATTAAAAAACGTAAGAACGTTCTTATCTCAAGCTTATTATTGTCAAGAAGTATGGGACCGTCGGTTAAACTCTCCAATCTTGCAAAAAGTAAACCTTGATGAATTTTATTATGAATTGGATCAAAGGTTTCAAAAAACTCGTGAATTGAGTGCAGTAGATGTTGATATTTTCGCTAATGTAATTACAAATGATAAGTATACAGATGAATTATTAGATGTTGTACATAAATTGAGACTTACAGCAGATACTTGTAATACTTTGAATTCAACATCTCATGCTTTAGTCCGATGTTTATTACAGTTTGGAAATATGGAAAATTTGTTAAACATACTTGACGATAGATTGAATTATGGTTTATTTTTGGATTATTACACAGCTAATTTATTAATGGATGTATGTTGGAAGAATAAAGACTACACATCTGGAGCAAGAGTAGCTAGCCAGTTAATGCTCCAAGAAGAATTTGACCATCCTGTCAGTCACAATTTAGCACTCTTACATTGTTATAATTACTTATTAAAACCTGAGGGCTGGCCTGTTTATCCTGCACCTGAAGAACCTGAAGAAGATGTTAAAGTAAGAGTAAGATTTATCAGAAACCCCTATGATGATGAACATTTTGATTTAAGAGATCCGAATAAAATAGTTGGGAAGACTTTAGCTATGTTTACAAAAGCAAAAGATGATTCACTAAACAAATCTTTTAATGTACTTGGAAATGCTCTATTTAATAAATTAAATAAAGTCGAGAGCTGCATTAAAGATTGTCAGAGTAAAAATATAGTGCTATTTAAGGAAATAATTGATCTAGTTCCAAATGAAAGTGAGGCTAAAAAAGTTGTATCTGAATTAAAACTAGAATCATCCAATATATCTGATATTTTAGAAAACAAATCTGAACATGCTGTTAATACTATGTCTGAAAGAGATGTAGCTGATCAATGTAAACTTTTTCTGCAATGGGAGGAAGAAAGACATCAAGCTTTAGAAATACAAAAAGATAGATTGTCCAAAATTAGAAGACTTAAAGAAATTGAAGATCTGCAGCAAGCTCTTAAGGAAAAAGAAACTAAATTATGGTTCTTTAAAAATGAAGAAAACATTGAACTAGCTATTGAACAAAAAGAATTAGCATCTCCAAAAGAAGAAGAATCTGCTGTGGTAGAGACTGATGATAATTACATACCTCCAGAAGTACATAGCAGACAAAAAAAATAAATTTTATTTTTTGTTAAATCTAGTACTAAAGTTCTTTTTTGTGATTTTTTACCTGTAAAAGTATATCAATAAAACATTTAAAAATGTGTGAGATGCTACATTGGTGGTTCCCACCTTATCGAGACATGTCTTTTGGACAATGATTGAATTTTGAATTAAAGATGATGACGCATTGATGTTTCAGCTTTTTAAAGCATTGGCATTAGGCTAAACCACATAAGAAGATCTGTTTGTGTAAAAATACGAGTAGAAATATTTGGTCCTTTTACTCTTTAAGCCTGCCCATGTAAAGAAATGTTTCTTTCACCCATTAAACCTGCTGTTAATTTTTCACCTTTTCTAAGTGGTTGTCTCTCATAGAGTTTGATTTTTCCTAAAAATTTCAAGTTTATATCATTTTTCGTTTTTGAGTTATGATTTTTTAAATATTTTAACCCTCTTAACCACCCATTTTTATCCAAACCTCAATGGGCTTCATCTCCTTATAGAGCTTGATTTTTACTAAAAATTTAAAGTTGATATCATTTTTTTTTTTTAGTTATGATTGTTTAATTATTTCAACTCCCCTTAACCCCTTATTTTTATTCAGATTTTTCAGAATCAATTGGCTTCATCCCCTTATAATAAAGCTTAAATTTTCCTGAAAATTTCAATTTGATATCGTTTTTAGTTTCAGAGTTAGGATTTTTTTCTATTTTTCAACTCCCCTCAACTCATTTTAATTTAATTGTTTTTCAGAATCAATAGGCTTCAATCCTTTTATAGAGCTTGATTTTTACTAAACATTTCATGTTGATATCGTTTTTTGTTTTTGATTCATGATTTTTTTGTTAATTTTAACCCCTCTTAAACGAGTAGAAATTTTTTATATAATCAGGTACTTTTCTATCCGATTCCTGTACTCGAGTACTCCTATCACTAGTTATTTTTCGTACAAACGAGGGTCTTTTACCCGGTCTATTTTTGTATAAATCCGATTCCTCTGCGGCTTATAAAAAGCGTGGAATTTGCATAAAAAGCGTGCAGGCAAGTCAAAAAGCGTGGCTGCCACGCCGAAAGCGTGACGTCTGGCAACCCTAGAGACAACCCAGCATAACATATATGCCGCGTTTGAGAGTCCACATCTGATGCATATGAGATGTAGTAAATCTTTGATCACGTGATTCAGTATATGTAAATGTAATGGGACAGATGTGTCCGATGTGGATAAAAAACGCTCGAGATGTAAAAAAATGCATCCGATGTGGATTCTCAAACGCGGCAATAACACATTGTATTGGCAACGTGAACGTGTCGCCTCATGTTTCGGCACAGGTCTCCGTGTCATGTGCCGATACTATATCGTGACTTCATCAGGATAGTAGGTGTCTACGGCGCTCCTATTAATTATGATTTTGCGAGCAATTTTGTGGTATAGAGGCTCCGGGCTTTGAATCCTACCGAAAACAATGTGAATTTTTTTGAATGGTTCTCTATAGTATTTGATGGATGCCTTATTAGCAGAAATTTAATTTCTGTTGATATGATATTCATATAAAAATCGCCATGGGTTATCGCGTTTCGATGATGGTGGGTGGGGTTTTCCTTACCTGTAAGTCAAATAGCCACGGAATATAATAATAGCCGTCCCTTCCCCTACAAAAGTCGCTCGGTCTGCTTCAGGGGTTGAAATTCACTCGTAAGGGTGTGAATCAGGAAGAGTATTATTATTGTGCCTCGTTAGCTAATTGATATCGCACCATTGCCCATAATAATTGCGCTGTGGTGCTCGGCTATCTGGATGCGAAATAGGTTGGAGCTAGAGCAGGCTGGATGTTATTCTGCAGGCCGCAAGACATATGTGGTGGCTACAATATATCGCGACTCGGTATCTTGCTCAACAAATATGCCCGGATGCAAGTATTTAGAAATGCATCACTACATATATAACGATTGGCGTGTAACCTTTTCATTTTTTTCATCTTTGTAAATGCAAAATTTAGTTTAACAAAAATATGTTTGTGGAAGCATTACGCATTTCCATTTTGATGAAATATATATCTTTATTAAATATTAGATTTATCAGTTGGAAATTGCATTTGTAGTGTGTGCAATGATTAGGAATAAAGCTATTAAACATAATAACAAAAGTTAATAATGGCTATTGTTTAGTACAAGCGATATATGATATATCTACATGCAATATTTCTATAATAAATTCATTATTTCGTAACTCATTGACGTCTGGGAAAAATCATGAAACGCGTCGATGTTTATTTTCAAACGCGTGTTCATGTTTCTATGAGTTGGTCAAAAACACTTGTATCGATAACTAGTTAAAATATTCAAAAGAAAAAACAATTGCTACCCATACACTACCATTTTAGAGAGAAACAGAAAATAAGAAATTCTTTTTCTATGGTCAGATACTGCTTTTAATCGTGACATCAACTGTGTAAGCGTGTAGTGCCCACAGACCATACCCTTGTAACGCCCACAGAACACTGTAATGCCCAATGAACTGGAGAGGGTAGAAATGTGGGGTAGAATGATTAGGTACCGTCTGCGCATCCATCACGAGTGTAGAAATTATGCATAATTTAACCTTCCACTCTTACACACGTAAATGACAAGGAGAGGTTGCCCTAAAGCACTGTAAACAAACTCCAGGCTTGACTTTCTGTCTCAACTGCCATAAATGAATCGTGCTAACAAATGAAAAATTTTATAATTTAACAGTTAACAAAATTAGGTACCTACTACAATATAAACAGGTATTTAAGTCCGGCCCAGAACATCTCCCTACTCCTTTTAATTAAATTAAAATTTTACACTTTTCCTCCAATTTATCATTACAGTCCATTTTAGAGAAATCATATAAAACAAAATTTATAGAGATCTATAATGCAAACAACTTTTAGTTTAACAATTTTCTTGAAAATCCTAATTTTGCATATTTTGTAAAATTTCTCGATTACGGACCATTTTAGAAAAATTTTGTATAGTGAGAATAATATTAGAAGTATATTAAAAATGGAGGTGAAGGGGGATCTGTTAAACTGTGAAGGGTATACCATAGAAAGCCCATTATACATATATCTTCATTCTAGTTTATTATTATCTAGAAAGTGTTACAGTGTTTACTCTTTATTAGGCCACCATAGCGGTACTAACGAAGTTTATAAAAATTTTAATAGGAAAAAAAAATATGAAAAAGAATAAAACAAAAATATATATAAAAAGTGACTAAAATGTGAACAAAAAGTATATATTTTTAATATTTCTTATTCATTTAAAACTGCACTGACTACGCTATACGTAGCACTACATGAAAAAGGTGTGTATGACATCGACCCGACCTGACCTGTGATTGTGACCATCCGGTACGAAAGACAATAGAAAAATAAATTACGAATTAATGCAAATACGGAAATCAAATCCATCGACTTATTCGTTTGTCGTATTAAGGGTTATTAAAAAACGTAATTTTAGGAAACTTTTTACTTATGTTTAGAAACATACTTTTATTTACAACCATTTTTTTCAAGAAAAAAAAATAATTTGGCACTGTTTTTCCGTAAAAATTTGTAGAAGAGTAGATAGAGAAAATTGAGTTTTGAGATGAATATGAGATATCAAGAAAGTTATACAAAATATGATGACAACAGAACCAGAAGTGGATCAGAAACAAGTACTTGGGGTTGCTTAAAAAATATCTTTATAATGAAGCAATTATTGTGTATACCGCTTGGACTAATTTCTTTATCAAATTTTATATAAAGCTTCTATATTTCATAATGATTACATTATAGACTATTTTGTGTACATTAGAAACTAGTTTATTGGAAGTTAAATGACCATGTTCTGGCTTTTATTTGGTGTAACCTTAGTGTTATCTAATTCTGTTGCAGATGAACGCATCGATGGTTGTCCAGATGTTCAAGTTGTTCAAAATTTTGATTTATATAAGGTTCGTAATTTGTTGTAGTAAGTAAATATATAATTTTAAGTCATAAAAAATTCTTCAGATAAGTTATACTAGGCTGAAGAAAATTTTACATTTTCAAGTTTGAAGTAATAAATTTTGTTTATGAATTATAAATTATTTTCAAAATATTGAAATTGACTAAATAATTATCTTTATTTTTGTACGTTTAATACGAAATATTTTTTTGCCCAGCCAGAATTAATATTCATTGTCTTTATTAGTTTTCAATTTTGTTTCAGTATAAATACATAGCTAGGTAGGTACCTACCTAGTATTTAAGAATTATATTACCCAGGGGCGGATAGGACCCCTCAGACCGGCGTGGGAAGTCAATTGAAATGGCGCTGCACCGGTCCAGCAAAAAATGGAAAACATGAATTTTTATTAACTTAACCACAAATAATTATGTTGCAATAGATTATATTAAATATAATTAGGATTGTGGGCCATGTGGCCCCCCCACCTCGCATTTTTCAGATCTAAATTGTTGTTTAGAGTACCTTGTCTAGTTTGGTCTTTTGTAGTAGACTCCATAGACTAGGAAGTAGTTCTCCGGCGTAGTTAGTGGCCCTTGGTTTTTCTTCTCCAAGTGTAACGAATCTGTCTTAATAGACCTACGCAGTAGCACAATATGTGTTTTGCAGTTTCCTCCTTTTCCTGACAGAATCGGCATAAGGTATCTTCTGTCAGACCGATATTATACATATGTTTGTTAAGTCTACAATGCCTTCTTATTAGACCTACTTCTACTCTATTTTCACATTATGGCTTAGTATATGCTCGGTGAGTTTAGACAATTGGTCCTTTTAAGAACTTTTTTGCCTGTCTCTGTCCTGGTGAATTTTTCCACCATTCCTGAGATGTTTTAAACATCTAATGCTTTGCACATGTTCTGATAGCTGTCTTTGTGATACCATAGAAGGGTTCTGGGCCAATTAGAGCTTTCTCGGTTTGTAAATCAGCCTCTTCATTGTCCTTACGTCATCTGTGTCTGTTTTGACTACCCAGCTCTGTTAGGGCTTCCAAACTCTCCCGCACAAGCTTTAAGTGTACCAGAACTGATTGCTTTTAACTTCTCTTAACTGTCTGAGTATATGGCAATGGTTTTTCCATTTACCTTATGCCTTAATACCTTTTTTGCGCAGTTATGTATTGCTGCTATTTCTGACTTGAATACTGTCGCATGTTTACCTAAGCTCAGAGAGATTCTTGTCTTTGGATAAGTACTATATATACCCGTCCACGCTTCCCTGTCTGGTATACTTACTTTATATTGCTTTTGAAAGCTATACTTTGGAAGCATTTCACCTGAAGGCTTTCCCATTATTTGGTCATTTTCCAACTCTTTATGTAGCTCGCTGTAGCCACGTCAATGCAAACTGCTTATGGGTGTTGGACCTTTTTGACAGACCTGGCTTCGCCTTGAATGAATATATGTAGTGGTGCTAGGTTTAGGATGACTTCTAGAGCTGCTGTTGAAGTCGTTCTCATCGCTTAGGCATGTTTGCCTTTGAATACCGTTGAGCTGTCGAATAACTCCAGCTTGCCGAATCTTTGGCCATCATGCCACCGACCCTTAGGTTATCATATACTCTATCACTCTGATATACATATATGTACATTTTCGGTTGTAGTCTCTAATTTTTTCCACATAACCTTCGACATAAGTTAAAGGATGTTGTGCTCTTTTGGGTGACTTTTTGCAAGTATTGAATCCATGTTAACCTGTGGTCAAAGATGAATCCTAAGCATTTAGCCTCTTAAACAAATGGAATCTTCACTCCTTTCTTTAGTCCTGTCAGTACTTTTCGTTTTGTGAAGTTGACTATTGTGATTTTGTAAGGGAATCTCTGTGTGAGGGTTCACTTGTTAGTTCCTCCTCTCTGCACTACTCGTCGACGATTTTTAGAACGCTTTGTGAGCGCTCCGCTATTGTACCTATCAACTCATATCTTACAACGATAGTCGGGTCATCGGTATACCATGGGCAGTAGAAGTCTGCAGATATTAGCCTTTTATGAGGACTGATCAAAGGAGGGGTGGTACCACTTCTCCCTGGATGCAGCCCCTGCCTGTTAAAATGACTCAAATTGTTAAAAAAAAATATATGAAAAATGCATGGCGACGTCTTTAGTACCGAAGCACCGGGAAATCTCTCGGTTTCCCAGTGGGCCCATCTGCCCTTGATGCTATCTACTGAAATTCTACAATCAATTGTAAAAGACGTAATAATTTAAAATTTTAAGTCTTCAGATAATTTTCAATTAGTTTACAACAAGGAACACTAGACACAAAAATTTTGTTAAAATATGTTATTAAAAAAAACGCCTTTCAAATGAAATGTCACATAACTTAGTTAATCTGAATTTTAAAATTTTAAACTTTTTTTCTTATATGGCTCCGGTATTATCTTCCTGCTAAATAGCAAGTCTCAGTATGATGTTTTGATTTCTTTAATAATGTGTGTGATGTTATATAGGAGTTGTTACTGTGTTTCCCAGCGCAACTATTGATAGAATTCCACAGTGAATGGTCAGTGTGATTAATACAATCAATAAAAATGAGTAAAAATCAACGACGAAAAACTACTTGTCGTTGGTAAAAGCTAATTCCAGGTCTGCTCAGTTTTGACCTTACCTAGGGTGACCAGATTTATTTGCAGAAAAGTAGGACAACCAGGACAAAAAAGCCTGATTTTTTATAAAAAAACCTGACATTTAACAAATATATTTATATAAAAAAATGTAACAATTTTTACTTAGGTAAAAACTACTTGTACTTTTCAGAAGAACCAATTTCTTTTAAAATATTGGGATTGTTCATCAAATAATTATAATATTCCTAACAAGACATTTTTAAATTAAATTTTAACATTATGAGGCTTTTTATTGATTCGATAGATAAACGGTTTCTTTCTTTGGTCCACTGCGTTTAAAGAAAAAATTCGCTCGACGGCAGCATTATGTGCCGGAATAGCAAAGTAGAATTCACAAATTTTAAGTAAGACTACTTTTTATCTAAAGATAATGATAAAAATTCTTCATTTTGAATCTTTGTTGTCAAACTGTCTTTTAATAAAATGATTTCATCAATTTTAGATTGATAAAAAGCCGGACACGACAAAAAGCCGGCCGACGTTTTCATTTAAGCGAAAAAGCCGGACATGTCCGGCTTTATCCTGACGTCTGGTCACCCTACCTTACCTTATTCAAAAATTGAAAGTTGACACGAGTATTGCACTGTGTATTATTAATCATGTACTCTTACACTTTTTATAAACATGTCATTCTTTATCAAATACACTACAAACAACTGAGAACAGTAGGTATAAATGGAATAAATAATGTGTAGTTTTTAAGAATGAGGGGTGGTATTTGAATGTGTTATCACGTTACAAAGCGATCATCTCTAAGGTCATTAATTATTAGCATTTGTTTAATTAATAACATGATTGAAAATATTAAGGCTAAATTATTTTTTGACAGTTCAGATATTTAAATATCTTTCAAGTGTTTCTGCTGTAACGTGGTAATTTTTATGCCATAAGAGCAAATCCATTTTTATGGAAAAAGAACGAAATTTTCGGAAGAACCTAGAGCGTACTCAATACATGGGCATAGATAAGAGGGGGTAATGGGGGTAATTACCCCCCCCCCCCCAAGTCATAGTCAACATCAATATTTTTTTAACGTTATATTAAACAAAAATAGAGAGATAAAATAAATACAATAAAACAAAGAGTTTCTCAATCATTGTCATCTAAAATAATAATATTCCTGCAAATTGAAAATTAAAATTTATATACACGGTCCCATTAGTTCGTAATTGTTCAATATTTCAATTTGTGTTATTAGCAAGCAAACAAGTTTTAATAAAATGTTTGAAAAATACATATTTTAAAAATATTTTTGGATATACAGGGTTCTCCGTTTTTGCCTTACAAATAAAAATGTATGTTTTTTTAAATAGAAAACCCTATATTTTATTTTATTTTTAGAATGGCTTGGGAATACTGTATTTAACCCTAAAATGTTTTTAAAAAATATTACAGTGTTGTCAAATAATTTTTTTTTTAATTAGAGAATGATGCAGACCCCAAATTAAATTATCATAATTTAGGTAGGTTTACATTAATTTCAAAATTATTTAATATACAGATTTATAAAATACTAAGCTAACAAATAGAGTGATACAACTGGTTTATTCTATACAGAGTGTTGTGATACATGTCTTAAATATAGTTAATTTTAAGTTCAATTTACTCAATTTTTTCAAAACGCAACACACTGTATGTTGTCTTGGCATAAAATTCCCTATTTGCCCATGTAACAATACCAATGTGTTAGTCAATAACACATATACAGTGTGTCTCATCAGTGCATAATTGATCGATAGCTGTTTTATTATTAGAAATACGAAGAAATGTTTAATATAAAAGTTGTATGACCATATTTAACAAATATTCTTAAATATACAGGGTGGTCCATAAATGAGGTGCTGACCAAATCTATACTTTTTTAAAGCAAAACACCCTGCAGGTATAGTAATACATATTTTATTGTCTTTACATCGTCAAAAAATTTTAATTGACTTCATTCATTTGCTATGTTGTATATAAGGTGTGTCCAAACGTGAGGTTACGATTTTCTCAATATTTTAAATGGAATAACCTGTATTAATTAATTGGTGGTATGACAATATGACATATAGGGTATTCCATTTAAAAAAATGAGAAAATCGTTACTCCTCATTTTGAAACACCCTATATACAACATAGCAAATAAATGAAGTCTATTAAAGTTGTTTGACGATGTGAAAACAAATATAAAAATCTGATGTGTCCAACACATGACTTTCCTATCTAGTTATTACAGGCTTTTTCTGGTTATTTTGTACAACCTATTGCAGCACCTCTATAAATGTTTAGAGGAGGATAAACTAAATATATACATTTTCCACATACATCTACCTCGAAACATTTT